AAATTACAGAATTCCGTTCATTGTTTTTGAGTACGGCCAGCGGCGGGGAAGTGCACACACAGTCGGTGTGTGTGGGTAGAGAAGAAACGGTAAAGTTTGTTCCACCAAAAACTATGCGGGCGCTGCCTCTCTTTCGGTCTCTCTCTCTCTCTCTCTCTCTGTCTCTCTTTTATTGATATTTCAGGTAAACCGTTAGGCTGCTTAGTCCAACAAAAAGGCAAACGAACCAACCACAAAATCAATGCCACACCATGCCTCGCACACGTGCCTCAAAATGCAGCCAGCCCTCTCTCTCTCTCTCTCTCTCTCTCGGTCTGTAACTGTCAAGGACCTTTTCCCAGCTGTTTTTCAGTTTTTGGTGAATGAAAAAGGATGGAAATTTGAGGGCCAAGCAGAAGGTTGACAGAGCGACACGAGAGACATTCAAATGCATCGATTGAAAGAGTCAACAATTGACAGTTATGACAACAGATAATGCCGATGATGATGATCCCCAAAGGACTATGATGATGATGATTTCAGGGTTGTCATTGGAATAACAGTAAATAAATGTTGGCACACTTTTGAGGTTTGAAAGGATTACTTAGGAGGGATGGGGACAGAGTCAGGAAAGGAATTCACTGCAAGACTTGGAGTGAATTTCGAGCTGTTTTTGAGGTACGAAATGTTCCTTTACATTTCGAATTTTTGCATTAACTATTCGACACAGACACTTGCGCTTCTAAGAGAGGAAACATCATTCCCACACATCTCACGATACGATGTTGAAATACATCACGAGTGACACACTTTTGAGGTTAAACCCCAAAATTATTAGACACTGAAACACTCGCACTTAGTGAACCCCAACCGTAGTCATAAGTTCGTCTTGAACTTCTTCCCATGGCCAATCAGAAAGAGGAGAGACTTTTTCATTTACGAGGGGAGGCGTAGGGTGAAAATCTTCCCACAGAGTTCCCCCCGAAGCCAAACACTTGACAGGGCCTACGTCTCCACAACCACCACCTCTCCATTCTGCAGCCCTTTTCGAGGAGAGCTCGGTGTCGGTGCAGCGGTTGGCTGTACATGCATTTAGGGCCGAGGAAATTTGACATTTCCCTGCACTTAACTGTCACATAAAGTGTTAAACGAAATGAGCCAAAGGACTGCAAGGGGAGTGGATGAGTGCATGAATGAGGGGCTGAAGGGGCAGCCACAAAAACGAGCCGAACACTTGAGTTTTCGATTGGGATTTTGGTGGCATGGCGACCAGCGACCCCAATGTGCATCACTCTGCACCACACACCACCACCACCGCCAACGCCATCGCGACAAAGAATTACCACCACTCGTACATAGTAGAACATGCAACATGCAACAGCAACACTGAATGAATACCACACTTTAGAAGCGGCAAAAGTATTTATGTTGTCATTACTTTTGGTTCAGTTTCGAATCGAATTGGTTTCGGGTTCGGGTTTGGGTTCGTCTCTCATTTCTTGTTCTCCTTTGGCTTTGGTTCAGGGTGTTCCAGAAAGCGGAAAGTGGAATGTTGCTGCTGCTGCTGCGCGGCTCGCAAAGTTTACTGCTAATTAAAAATTGTGGAAAAACGAGGGAAAACATGCATGCAATCCAATCCGAGTGTCCCGATCCCATCTGGAGATCTATCGTATGTGCGCCCCCCCCCCCCCTCAGGAAGGAAAAAGGATTGCCACCGGGTTGTTTTTGTTCCCACCGTTCCTCACACTTTTGGGGTATCCTTTGGCTCTAAAATGGATATTAATTGACAGAGTTAATGACAGACCTCCCTCCCTCCCATTCGATCTCGTACTTTATGTGGGTACCAGCAGGAGAGTCAGCACTGGGAGCAGACAGAGGGAGTTCTAAGAGCAGGAAAGCAATCGAATTGAATTGAATTGCAATTCCTGAATATGTCTGTGTGTATGATCGACAAATCCAATTTAAATGAAGAGCTCTTCGGTTCCTGCGCGAGTGCCGTGGGTGTATCCCAGAGCCTGGGAAGAAATCCTTCACACATATGCGGGACATCGAATGGTTACTGAAAGGTACGACGACTGCGAGTACTCCCGTAATCCACACGATAATGTGTGCGACCTTGCTTCCCTTTTTTCCTGCCTATGTGGAAGTGCTTGCAACTAAATTGATTTCGTAATGAGGGTCAATGGGGAGGCTCTCCTTTGGGATTGAGGTTCGATGTGGATTAGAATCTGTGGGAATGGAGATTTTACATTACCAGAAGTCGCAATCAACGCACTCGGCATCTCAGAAGAAGCTGCTTTATGACGTCATTCCTCAGTTTGTGATTTCTGGATTATGCAGGAATATTTTGAAGGCATTTAGAGCTTCGGGATGTTCCATGATTGAACATGATTCGACTTCCTTAAGTTTTATTATATTTATTATTTTTATTTGCATGAAAGATTTATACAGTGTAGATTCAGATACATACAGCTTTCAGCTGCAGATAGCCTTTGGGGATAAATTAACAAGCAGAAATATTCATTTTCGTTAGATATTTATGCAATTCCCATGGGGCTACGGTTTTATGGTTTATAAAAACCAAAATACCATGCTGATATTTTCAAGCTGTCAAACAAATAGACACAAATGTGTGTAGATGTTTTCTTGTATTTTCAATTGCCTCTCCAATGGCCGCAATGGCAACAGAGATACCTCTCCTCGTCACCCTTTTACCCCACTCGCTCCCCCCCCCCCCCCCCCCCCCCCCCCCCCCCCCCTGGCTACACCCCACCATGGCTTACCACCTCCGAACAGCCAATCAAGCGCGCGCAACAGGTGCAACAAAAGGCGAAGCAAAATGTGGCGCACCTATGGTGGCGAGGCATCGCACCTCGTCGCTCATTAAGAGCTCGGCGGCAGCACCAGCACCAGCACCCACGCCAACGCACACACACACAGAGATACAGCAACACACAGCAGAGACACAGATACACCAACACAGAGACTGTCAGCCAAACAGAGTGTCGGAAAGAGCGGGAGAGGAAAGGCAATGAGCGGAGCGGCAACTAATTAACATACAAAATGAATGCGACGGCAAAAACAAAAAGGAACACAAAAAACGAGCCCCCCCCCCTCTCCTAACACTACACACACGCCATCGCTCGCTCTCTCTCACTCTCTTTCGCTGGCTTACCTTCTCGCCCTCTCTCACTCTCTCACACTCATTCACACGCTCTCTGGCAAAAGTGAGAAAATTATGAGGCTCCACCTATTTTACACTGACACACACGAAAGAGAGTACCTCTCTGAAGGTGTGCGAGAGTGCGGTGTGTGTGTGTGTGTGGAAGAGAGGGGCAGGGCAAAACACATGTTAACCGCATTAAAAAATTAAATATACAAATTGTTTATTATGTTGCTGGATAACCGCTACTTGTGTGTGAAAAGGGAGGAGAGAGATAGAGTATGTAAATGTGCGAGGGAGACGGAGTAGTACCTGCGATCTATTGCAAAAACTGCCAGCAAAAAGGGTAAAATATCTATGGGTATGACTTCAGCAACTCAGTGAAGAATGAGGATGAAAAGAAACAAACATAAAGAGCAGAAGTATAGAGAGAGAGAAGACCCAAAATGAAGCGGGACAGACTGGATAGCAGAATGGATGCCCCACAACTTGTTGATGGAGCTGCACTCCCCGTTCCACATGATCCAAAAGACGCTCCAATTCTCACATCATTCCCACCATTCGCATTCGTTCATTCCCTCTCTCTCTCGTGGATTATTTCATTAGAAATTCTTAATTTCTTTCAAGATTTGTACACATTTCGGTCGGATGGATATCTGTTTTCGTGCTTTGTTCTATTCCGATTCTGATGGCCATGATGGACATTCTCAAGAACCCAACAGAGGCCCCAAAGATCTTCGTTTTGGGCCACACATCAGCGAAATGTCATGAATGTGTGGCAATATTTGTGATATTTCTTACCAGGAAATCCCCCTCTGGCACATAGTTTTGTGGAGTGGAGTGGAGAGAAGGGAGTGGCAGAGCATTTTGCAATCGCAAGTGCAAATGAGTTTATCCGTTATCGCCAACAAAAAAGTGCATGGAGAGAGGCTACGGGGTGTACAGAGAGTTAAAGGGCAGGGGATTCACTTTGAAAAAGTTCCCTTTAACTTAAGCAAAAGTACAATAACCAAAAAGAATTCCCAGAATGAAAGGAAACAGTAGAAAAGATGATTAATCAAAGCTGTTCTTCAAACGGGCAAATATTTCTGTGCAGCTTACTTTAGAAATTAAAGGAAAAAATACTTTGCATTTAAGATTTCATAAGATTAATCCCTAAACGTTGATGTACGATAAAAATAAACGATTCATGATATGAAAATAACTATAAAATAATTCATTTATTAAAAACAAAGACATGTTTTGGCATGACTTTAATTAGAGAGCGAATGAAAACTGAATGGAAAAGTCCGTGAGTGAATAAAATACATAATAATACACAATAATTCTGCATTTGGGCAAATATTAATATAATTAAATCCGAGTTCTCATCCCAGCACGAAGCTCGTATTGCCCGTATTCCCCGTGCCCATATGTCACACCCTTACGTTGCTTGTGGTGTGGCTTACGTCATGATGCTACGGGAGGAGAGTGCTAACAGAGGGCTAACATTTACGATATTGCATTGGGAGAGCACCGTTACAGTTTCATTTACCGTTTCCGACTGTTAGCTGCTAAAATCTTTTGAAATTCAGAGAGCGACATCGTTCTGCTCAGCGTTCTGCTCTGGTGGTGGCTCAGGCACACACACACACATGCATAGAGAGACACTCACATAGATACAATATATGCATATACGGGGTGTTTCTCTCTGTCTTGCCTGCTATCCGCCCTGTGTGCCGTTGTGCGACTGTTGTTGGCTCTGGTTCTCTTCTCCCTCGTTTCACGTCGCACGAGACGAGGCGAATATAATCTGTAGACGACAACGACGACAACGACGACGAGGAGTATGCTATGGTCGAAACCAAACAGAAAGTCAGAATTCATTCAGACGTCGCGTCGGCAACACGCGCGCTGCTCCCCCTAGCGAAAAAAACACACACACAAAACACACAAAAACCGAACACCCAAATCCAACTCACAAAAATTCGTAATAAAATAATACGCGCAGCGCGTTCGCACCGCAGGCGTACAAGTTATAGAAAATCAAAGTGAATAATCCAAGAGAAATAATATCTGAGAGATAAACCAAGGGCCATCCAAACCATCCATCCCCAATGGCCGCTACAACACGTGTGTGCTATTCACCCAAGTGATCCAAAAGCAAATTCCCCCCCACAAATCCAAATAAAACAAAAAAAAACAGGAGAACTTCAGCGGAAGCGTAAACCCCCCAAAACAATAACGAATCACAGCAAAAAAGCATTCCAGATGTTGTCCTGCCTGGCGCCGTCGTCTACACGTTTTGGCCAAGAGGATAACAGCATCATACAGCAGAGCATGCCATCGTCCACAGCCTTCACAATGCAGTGTAAGTGTATCAGGTCCCGATCCAATGATCTGATCCTCCAGCAGCAAGCGATTCGAATGAGTCATGCAATCCCTTTGCTGCTGCTGCTGACACAGTCATTATTCAAATCAGAGTTTCGAATCAGACACAAAATATTGTCTATAAAATTTGTTTGTGTCATTATCAGCCTCTAAAGATGCAATTGAACTTTTAACTGTGTGTGTGTGTGTGTGTTGTATCTGTGTGTGTTTTGCTTTCTCGATTCATTCAAGATTTGCGCGCCAAAGCGTGTTCCCAAATGCAAAGCTTAGCAGTTTTCAAACGATCCAAAACAAAGCAGCCGAGTCGCCATCTTAGGCAACGGCACAAAGCGGACCAACCTCCTGTGTGGTCTCCTTACCTTCACAAAAAAGCGGGGGGAAACCATAAAAAGAAACAGAAAAACAATGCAGAAGATGGAGAAGAAGTTTGAGAGAATTAAGAAAAAACGACAGACTAAGGATCATGGCAAGGCATCGGATTACCTCCTACGCTACGAGAGTATTTTCCATGGAGTGTGTGGGTTGAGGGTTCCCTTCTGCTGAAGGTTTCGCTTGATCAGCAGCACAAAATACGTGGCAGTGCGAGGGATTTGTCCCCGAGATAGACAGAGCGGGAGAGAGAGGGGGAATGAGAGAGGAGACATCACACAGCCAATTGCAGGCACATTTCAATTTGATTTGTTGGCAAACGCCAACCACACTGCTTACGACTGCTCACGACTGCCTTGACTTGACGGCAATCTCCACCCACATCATGCGATGCCACATGCCACAGACACATTGTACCGGTACAGGTACATCCCCTAAAAAGCGACCACAAGTAGGAGGCGCCTACCACCTGCAATGGCAATGGCAACACACCTCAACCACCATTCAGGGTTTGAGTTTGAGGCATGCGCAGGCGAACAGGTAGAACCTGGCTTTACTTTACTGGTTTCCAACAAATAAAACCTGTTCTTCCTGGCCATATTGGTTGCCATTCAAGTGATACAAAAGATAAAACAGATGTGCGTTTGTGTGTGTGTGTGTGTCTAAACAAAGCATAAAACTGTCAGTGATCAGAGCTCATCATCATCATTAGCACACCAGAGGAAGAGAAAGAGAGCAGCCAGAGGGAAACCCATTAAGAGAAGGTGTGAAGAAACTAGAAATGAATTGAAAACTCTTAGCGGGAAATCAGGCAGTGTGTAGGGGGTGGTGAAAATGCAGCAATGGATGGCGCAACACGGCGATAGCTTCGGTTCTGTTTCGGTTTGACAATTGATAAGCCACCTAAAGATACGGATTAATTGCACATGTTCCACAAACACACCAACACAAAGGAAGGTTGTAAGGGGGGGAGGGGAGAACCACATCTTCTTAGACAAAAAACTATAAATTATAATTTATGGCTATTTAAGTAGGCAGCCACCGTGTGCCGTGGGTGGATCTCTAAAAGCCCTCGAACACGAGGCACAACAGATAGCAGATAGCGCTGCTAATCGATCAGCAGACGGCGCTGTCGGTGTCGTTGGCTGTGGCTGTGGCACAGGTTGGCCCACATATGTACGTGTACAGCTACAGTGTACAAATGTATCTATAGCCAGGGAGCCAGAGCCATAGCCCAGAGAGCCATAGACACGGTACACTTTTCCGGTTGTTGTGTTTCCGTTTGATGGCGCTGGGCAGCTGCGACCGCGATGGATATTAATCGCCAGATACACTGAAATTTCTGTTCCCAAAGAAGTAGTATCTATCTATCTATCTATCTATCTATCTATCTGGCTGTGTGGAAAGAATGTATCTTGTACTAATTTTCGCCTGGCGCATGGGGCGTGTGTTTTGTCGCATTTCGAAATTGCTCCAAAAGTCCATAAATCAAAGGCATTTTGCCATCGAGCGAGCATCGCAAAACCTGTCGCCTGCCGCTCTGCCGCTCTGCCTGTCTGCCCGCCTAGTTATCACCTAAGAAACGCCCCCAAAAAACACAACAAGCAAACAAAAAGTTATCTAATATTCGGGCAGGGAAGATACTCTGCAGGGCAGATCGAACTTTTGTTTGGGGGCCCTCTGAAATTAAACACTTATCTGACGTGCTGCATCTTTTGATTAGTGAAGAGTCCCTGTCCATCCCCAAAGGATGCGGCTACGCAGATACAATTCTAATTAATCATTTTGGAGGGTGCGCTGTCAGTGGATGTCAGTTTTATATGCTGGTGCTGTCGGTGCTTCCATTTATATAATTCCTCATTCTCAGCCTCAGCCTGCACGACTCAGGACAAACTTCAGGCCAAAAACTATCCGGCGAATGGCACGCAAAAATGATTAATCAACACAGGCGTGTGTCTACCTTAGAGATACTTTCACGGAGCATTCAGCCAGAGATACATTTCTTGTATTCCTGTGCTTTAAATTGCAATTGCTGCTGCATCAGGATCCTCCACAAAAGACAAACAAATAAACAGCTCGAAAAAAAAGAAGACTATAAATCAATGAGGGGAAAGTCCTCTTTGATATCCTGTAAGCCCGCTGTCTCTCTCTCTCTCCAGTTTCTCTTCAGTGTTCAACCTGCCGCAGCTTTGGGCAAATTATTTGCCACATTTTACTTTTATTTCACATTTTGTAGAAGCCCCAAAGTAAATTGTTTGCCAATATTTTTTGTTCTGCTGCTGCTGCACCCTTTGCCTGCCGCTTGTGCACACAATTGAAACAAAGATAACTTTGAAACAGTTGTAAAGTGAAAATTGCACGGAATCCAGTCGTTCCATGCAGCACCCACTCCTCCCGCCTGAAGCCTTTTCCTGCCTTTTGCAATTTTTGTGAATATTTTTTCTTATTTATTTAATGCCCCGCCGCACCACGAGACAACAATTCCTGGTCCTGGTTCTGGTTCTGTAGCTCCCAAAAAAAAAAGTTCCAAAAAATCGGGTGGCACAAACAAAGGGTCCACCTCCTCCCGTCCTACTGGTACAGCCAACTTCTCTCTGGAAAAAAAGGTGTTGCCAAAGGGCAGGCAAAATTGCAGCTACCGAAAAATAAAGGAGGAGCAGCTGCAGCAGCAGTGGTACGAGTACTCTGAAGGATGGGGCATGTGGCAGGCACAATTTAACATGTAAACGATTTTGGTTAACGGGCAGCAGGAGGCGGCACTGCCTGCCAAAGGGTTACAAAGGAGTGCGGGGGCAGCACCCTGCCCTTCTGATTGCCGTTCAATTGCAATAAATTTCGCACAATTGCACAATAATTGTTAAAAGTTTTAAATAAACAAAAAATAGTCAACATTTGTGGGGCAACTCTATTGTGGGGCACTGCACTGCGGAGCACAAAGGGGTAGAGTAATGGCAGCGGCAGTGGCAGAAAAAGTTTCAATTGCATGGAGGACTCGCTTTTTCCAACCCCTTCCTCTCACTCCCTTTATGTGGTACTACAGATAGATATGAATCGAGGCCGAAGTGAATATCAATTAGCCAAGTTAAGCTGAACTCTGGTTATACGTACACAAATTTCGCTTTAATTGAGAGACTTTTTACGTTACGTTGTTTGATATGTGAGCATAATTACTCATGCGGAATAATTGGATAAAAGATACTTTTAGTGAAGAAAAAATTTACATTTCCTAAAAACAAATATAATATATAAATAAATCCTATAAAATATCGTTACAAGATAGTAAATGCAAATTAAAGTTTTACATTTTACAGGCAACATTCTAAAAACCATTCCGCAAAATGTATCTTAAAGATACTCCATCAAAAACGTATCTTTTTGTGCTCAAAACACACATTTAATGAAACTGAAGTTGTCTATAATATTTGTATAGAAGTGGAAGTGCTTCTGCGAAAAGTATCTTGAAGATACTCTGTAGGCAAAAAGTATCTTCTACATTTATATCGATGTTTTATACATTTTCGAAGTATTCTTTGATGGGCAGACACTTGAAAGATGCTCGCAAATTCCTCTGACAAAGTATCTTGCACTGAAAATGTATCTGCACTAAATATTCGCTCACTTTTCTACGGTTCTGTGGCTTGCACTGAAGTTTTTCTACACCTTAGAGTGCCCCCTGCCCGTCTGTGGCATATTTCTCTAATTGCTTTCTGTGTGTGCCAACGCATCGCGGTGCCTGATGCCTCATGCCTCATGCCTCACCCCTCAAGTCTCAAGCAATTTCAAATGCAACTCCAATTTCAGGCCGTAGAACGCCCACACCCGACATCACACGCATTTCTGCATATTTTTTCAAGGTAAATCACAGAAATAGTCGGACCTGGGGCACATATGCTATATGCACAATGCTATCCCTGCCCCTGGTGTGCCCCTGTCGCTGTCCTGCCACACAGACCATATGTGTCAGACGAGGGATTGGCGCGGCAGGAGATGCCCAGAGTTTCAGTCTCTCGTGTGGCAGGGACACGAACACGGACACGGCTCGCTTGGCTATTAAAATTTCACACTCAGCAAAGCAAAATGTGCTACAAATAAAATAAACGTGGCTGCCTGCAAGCAGCAACGGTGCAACGTGCATCATGCAGCATGCAGCGTGCAGCATCGCCCTGGCTGTACAAATAAATAAAAGTAAAGGGCAACTCTCATTCGCTCGCTCGCTCCCTTTCTGCCTGCCATCTCCTCCCGATAGGATGCCCCGACAGTCTCTATTTATAGGAGCCGCAGTCTGCAGGCCCCGACTGCCTGCCGCAGCCACTGCACCTTTGCCTCTGCCACTTGAGGGGCATTGCAAGCACCTTTGTGCCCATTCGTATGAATGGAAGGGAGAGCGCAGCGGAGCGGGGCAGAGACCAGGGCCAAAGGTGCCACCAAAGTGGAGAGATACCTCTCTAGGTAGAGCAGCCAATTCCAAATTTAGAGACCGATTATGGGACTGCCCGGCCATATGCCATATGCCGCTCATGTGCTCGCTCTCTTCGAGTGGCACTTGAGAAGTCCACCATGGAGACAATGGAGGAGGATGAGGATGGGCTTGTGGAAGGTTAGCAATCGATAAGCTATTTGCACAGAGGCAGCGATCCTTTATCGATTACTCGAAACTCCGCCCTGGCATAAACAAATCGCGACTTCCCACAGGTGTTTGCTTACAGCTCCTATGTCTATGCCGATAAGGTACTCCATTCCTGGAAGCTAGGCCATTCCTAGAAGGTACTATGAGTAGGAGAGCCTTCCCACAGGTTTTCGCTTACAAAAATGTGTGAATAATTAATGAAACACAACAGCAGTGGAGGAGCAGTGCAGTGGGGTGTGGGGCTAGTACTCGATTCGTGTCTGATGGTGTCATTTTTCAACTGGCAATTAGCTAAGTAGTGTGCTTTTCGCACTCGCACTCGCTATCCATTCCAATTCATTTCAATCGCATTTGCAGTGGCGGAATTTATTTCATAAATATGCTAAAACAACGTTCATTGACTGCAAATGAGTGCAGAGCAGCGTTCGGATCGGGTCTGTTTATAATTAAGTGCTAAAATTTATGTTTATTTGCATTAAATATCATCAGCATCAGCATCAGCATCAGCATCAGCCGCAACCGCACCTGCCACCCAGGGAGGCGCCACCTGTCCTCCATTTGTCTGCAACTGCGTCAGCAATTTCTCCTAAACAATTAGACATCCGCACCCGTGTACCTCACCTGATAGCCAGGGGGGGAAAAGTGTCAACGGTTTGAATTTCCGTTGCGTCTGTCGTTCTGTTTGACAATCGGCTGTCATTGAAATATTAAAAAACACTTTGGGTGCCCCACTGTCACTAGAATTTTCTCTGAAGAAAATCAAGGGGCGAAATGTCTGGCACAGGTATAAATTAAATGTGTGGAAAATGGTCTCCCATTTGCATGGCAAAAGCAACAGCCAAGGCACAGAGGCAAAGGCAAAAGCAAGAGAAAGGCAGAAAGGCAGAAATAAATAAATTTGCATTAGCCGGGCTTAGTCGAAATATGTCTGGCTAATAAAAGTTGGCTATAAAAAAGGCACATAAAATTAGTGGGTGCCACAGATACACGGATGTCTCTAGTGATGTCTAGTATGCTGTGTGTGCAGATAGATAGATACAAATGTATCTTTCAGCAAAGCAAACCAAACATTCGGTTGGGATATTTTCCCCATTGATTTATGCCGCCATCCCATCTACGTATTATTTATAATATTTACCCCATCTGCCACGTATCCTCCCCCACTAACCACCTCCCATCCCCGCAGTGGCTATTTCTGTGTGCGCGTGTTGAATGCCGCACAGGTGAACCAACAACAACAGCAGCAGCCACAGGCAAAGATACAGATACAAGTAAAACTACAACAAACACTTGACACCGTTCCAGCGGATTTCACTCTGATGAAAGCCCTGCCAGATTTTGATTGCTTTTTGGCAAGCGTGTGGCCCCACATAAATTATATCGTCTGAAAGATAATGTCCTACAAAATGAAATAAAACTCATCTCCTACCAAAGTGAAAAACATTTGAGTTGTTCGGTTTGTTTTGGTTTTGGTTTTACTATTTTAAAATTATAGAAATGATCCCAGAAAGAGGAGTATGCAAACAGTATTCCCTCTACAATTCATTTGGGAAAACTAAATTCAGTTTAAATTTCTTTTGGGGTCCTTCAATGTCTTAGAGCAGGTGTTCTGGTTCCTTGATTTTTGCAGTTCCTTGCCATATTTTAAAGTTTTTCTCATAGCTTCTGCCATCTTTCTGTCTCATCCAACCATTTACGATCTACTGCAGCCATCTTTCCTTGTATTCCTTGGTATTTTGTAGGGCTATTCCCCATGTACCTGCTCTGTAGAGTAGCTCTCACTTTCTTTAGGTTAATATTGCCTATGACTTTGGCACATTTCAAGCAATTCTCTTTGAGCAATTCATCTTCCACTTCTCCACTCTTTTTCTCCCAGTCTTTCTCTATGTTCCTCTCTGGTCTGTTCTGTTCTGTTATGTTCTGCACTATCAATCAACTTCAATTGGTTCGCGTTAAGCGCAAAATAGTTGAAAGACACAGGAGGAGAAGGCGGTCGAGGAGGAGACAGCAGAGGTACAGCCTCGGAGAGCAAAAACTGAAAGTCGAAACCGAAATAAACAAACCATTCAAAAATGTGCTCAGTTCCCAAAGAACACACACAAAAAAACCACAAAAAATTCCTTCATTTCGATGGGGATAAATCAGGGGGAGCATGAATTGAAATTAATTTGCGGGACACTTTCAATATCTCGATCTCGATATCTGGGTACCGCTTACGTTGGAAAAGCGGCGGTGCAAATTGCAGATGAAAAAAAAGTGTAAAAACCAAATTGTTTATGGATCCGCCTCAGCCCATCTCCTTCTACTCCTCCCCGCCGCCTTTTGGGGCAGCGATTGCGTTAATAATTCCGATTTCGCGTCGTGTTGGTTATGACAAAAATTGATTGAGCTAAATGAGCGGGTGACACACTTGTTGACGCGCACTGTCGTCCCCCCGCTCCCTGCCCCTCTCCTGTGCAACCGATAGAGCATTATGCTGATGAAACTGACTGTAGGGCCATTAAAAAAAATAGTGTGTCTGCGCAGCGTCCCTCTCGCATTTTTACAGCTTTTAATAAAAATGTCATTAGGCAGAAGGAAGGGAATAAATTTCGAATTAAAATTATTAACTCTGGCGAGTGGCTGCGCTGGACCACTGGAAAATATAGAAATTATCTCTCTCTCTCTCTCTCTGGTTCTTTGATGGATGACTTTTAATGTCTTGTCCCACTGTCAGCTGTTCCCTTTGATTGCATTTAATGGATTCTTAAGTGGCAACAAAAAATAAAAGGAAAGGAAAGGTGGGTGGAAGAACTTGTGCCCTAAATATGGAAAGTTTCTGTGCTGCAACTATAATCTGTGATCCAATGGCTAATATACATATATTTCCATCATAAATCTGCCTTCTTTTATTGGTTTCTTTTGATCGCTTTGCTAAAGAAATGTTACTACTGAATGTTTTCTCCATGATCTTGTTCAGATTTGATCAACTTTGTACCATCATTATCTTAATTATTTTCCCCACACTGTGCATCTATTTGTCTGACTTCTTTCCATCATTTACGAGTAGTAAGACCCGCATCTTTCCTTTGCAATCAAACTGTATCGAAATCAATTAACATTCCCTTCCCTTTGCAACTATAATAAAAAGTGAAAACGTGCAATGAACTTTTTGATATCTGACGCTTGACCGCCATCCCTCAGATACTCATGCAGCAGTTGCAGATACGCAGAGGCACAAGGAGAAAGGTACAACTCCACGCAGTATGGACTGTGTGGAGCGAGGAGAGACTTCATTAATTTCCCAGCCCGCCTGCCCCTATAAGAGAGGGTCTGTTGTTTCTCTTGTCCCTGTTTCCCACTCTGCGAATGCCTTCCCCCTCTCCCCATGCAGCAGTTAATTGGCTTAAATTAAGGTAGCGTTCAAATGCGAACAAAGACTCTGCTCTGTCGCTGTGTGGGATACAGAAACTCCATTTTGTGGAGGAGTCTCTGCTGTGGTGTGGGGATACGTTCAGCTACCTTCTTGGCAATCTTTCAGATACAAACTTGAGAAAGAGAGAGAGAGAGAGAGACAAACAAGCCATTGCTGGAACAAAGCAATCTGCTTCTTGTGATCCGATCCGATCCGATCCACACTCACTCTTTCTTTCTCTCTGTGTACGCGCCGACTCTTTCTCGCGATCTGTGCTCTCTCTTACTCACTCAGTGTGTAGCTGCCTCCATCTCTTTCTCTTTCTACCCCCTTGGACATGCTTGAACGCGTTTCATAAACTGATTAAAGCAACTCTTCTGTTGCTGCTGCTTGCTGCTTCTACTCTGCTCTGCCGTCTTTTTCTTGGATCTTCAGCTCTTCTCAAGTGTTTTGGTGTTTGTGTGCGTTGTTTCTCCATCTCTTCTCCTTTACTCGTTCTTCTTGCTGTGTTTTCTTTTCTTTGGTTGTTTCTCTGGCTGATTGGCATCGCCATGAGATCATCGCCTTACGTGGAACCATCCATCGCAGCCATTGCGTGGAAGGAAAGGAATGGCAGGGAGGGGCCTGCAGAAGTTGATTTGCCACGAAATTAAGTTGATCCCCAGGGCCCTTGGGGGATCCTCTGCCGCTCCACGTCTCTGCCAATATCTGTGGCTGCTCTTTGTTTGGCACTCCCTCTCGTTTCTTTGCGTTTCATTTTGTTAAACGAACTGACAGTTAATTTGTTCTCTTTTCTTCTGTTATGTTTTCCTTTGCAGTTCCCTCTTTGGCTTCCAGTCTGCACCACCACCAGGCACCGCACAGCAAGCCGAGCAATGGCTCCGGCGTTGGCAGCCAGGAGCAGCACGCACAGCCAGGTGTCTCCGTTGATGATTTCCTGGTCAAGTGCACGCAGTGCCACAAACGCTTCACAGAGTTTCAGGTAAGTCTTTAAAGACCTCAAACCCTCCCCTTCCTCATAGAGTTCCCCCTCTATATTGTAATTTCTCCCTCCCATTGCAGTCCCTCAGCGAACACATTGCCAGCGAGCATCCGCACGATAAGCTGAACTTTGAGGCGAGTCGCGGCTCCAGCGGCGCTGTGCAGCCGGAGAGCGATGCCGAGGATGAGCAGAGCAATCTGAGTGGCAGCCGCTATGCCAAGTCCCCTGCGACCAACACCACCACCCATGCCAACCCCAGCAACAACAACAACAGCGATCTGGCCAAGAACCACAACAACAACAACAACAACAGCAACAGCAGTAAGCTCTCACCCATGTGCTCGCCCGGATCGGGGGGTCCCGCCGCAGATCTCTTTGCCCACCTCTCACACGGAACCCCGCCCCAGCTGCCACCCCACCTGCACGCTCAGTTCATGGCTGCCGCCGCTTTGGCCATGCAATCGGCACGCTCCGTCAGCTCCTCCGCCAGTTCGCCCAACAGTCACCATCACCAGCAGCAGTCGCACCACCACCAGCAACAGCAACAGCACCACCAGCAGCAGCATCAGCACCTCCTCCAGCAACAGCAACAGTCGCAGCAGCAACAGCAGCAGCAGCAGATGGCCATGCAGCAGCTGCTGCCGCCACAGCTACCGGGGAGCAACAGCAGCGTGGGCAGCAATTCCGCCTACGATCTGGATCTGAGTGCCCCACGATCCACCTCCAGTCCGGGCTCCACCACGGGCGACCTGAGCGGCGCCTACCCCTGCATGCAATGCACCGCCGCCTTCAGCAGTCGCGAGCAGCTGGAGCAGCACGAGCTCCTCCACTCGCCCACTGGGGGCCAGCCTACGGCACAAAATGTCTCTCAGGTGAGTCTCTTCGAATGTTAAGGGAGGATCTATTAGAGATTTTATCTTTAAAGCTACAAAATGTCTTTATAATTGTATAAATATTCGAGTCAGGAACACATTACATCCATTTGAATAGTGTTTTCCCTTTCGCACAAACCGATGACTAAAGAAAGAACTGTAAAGATTTGTTCTTGGAAATTGATAAGCAACATTACCTCCACCTCCCCACTCTTCCACTCCCCATCAATCTCCGCTGCCTGTACATAATGTACATAATGTGCTTACGTGTTAAAGTTCGTGGATCGTTACTCATGTGTACCGTAATCAGACCACAGAAGAGGTCCAGGGCTCTGGCCCCGCTTGATCTTTGAGCGCACACACACAGAGAGAGATCACGTTGAATACAATGCGTGGGCTTTGTTCTTGGTTAACGGGAAATGAGCAAACGATAACGGGACAACGGGCAACGGTGCCAAGTACAGAGTCACATACGGAATCAGAATCGAGTAAACCTTATGCCCATATGCATGTGGGTACGATTCTCGCCCACGTTTCCTGTTGACAAATCAAAACATAAAACAGTACTCTGACCAGGACCAGATAAAGGGGGGAAATCTTTCACAATACTCGTGTGTAATCGTACAAAATTAAAGAATCTCTACGTTCCGTTTTTTTCGTATTTAAGAAATAATTATTACTTATCGTTCTTGAGGTTTTTCCCTGCACTCGAGGGGTTCGAGGGAATTAAAGACTGACTTTTTTTGTGTGTTGTTATCAGTAAAAGGCAGAAAAAAGAACACAACACAACGGCCATAATAAACTATGATAAAGAACAGCAGAGGGAGAGAGAGACAGAGAGAGAGAGAGCGAAACACACATAAAAATAAAACGTAGGCGTTTACCAGTAACCCAGAACACGCGAACACTGCGGAGAAGGAGAGAAAATAGTAAAAACGTAAATTCCCCAATGGCCATGGAACGATGACGATGACGCGACATACACAGAGTCAGAGGTTGGGGGGGGAAACGACTGAGAACTGGAGAGACAGAGAGAGGCCATAAAGTCAGAGTGTGTGCGAGTGAGTGACCCGTTATATCTGACTTTGTATGGTGTGTGCTCTCTCTCTTTCTCTCACCGTAACTCCCAATTGTGCAGTTGTTGTTTCTGTGCTAGGCCTAGACCACAGTCTGGTCTGCCATTGTGATAAGGCATTAAAATAAATGTTGCTACAGGCCGTAGACCTGATAACAAACACTCACACACCGCACACACCTCCCCTTTCCAGTCATAACTTTGTGTTTCTTTTTTTTTCCTTGTCCTTCTACTTCAACGTCGTCGACGTCTTCGACGCCATCTTTCACATCATACATACTCTGAAGAACAGTAAAAAACAAAACTGAGACTCGCCTTCACACACGATAAGGAGTAGTGGGAGAGTGAGAGCGGGGCAGGCAGGGGAGCAGGGGAAACAGGTTCACCTTGGAGTCGAGTCGAGTCGGTGAACAGCCTACAAACCCCGAACCGAACCGAGCCCAAGGGCTATTAAAGCCACATAAATTATAATTTTGTTGCATTCCACATCCCCACATCCCCACACTCGAGCTCGTACCATCTTCCATCCTCTTTATCGCTACATGCTCCATCCACATTCTCCGTCATATATCGCATCGCCCATCCTCCGACCAACTCCTTCCAAGTTCTGGTCATAAATTCATATGGCTAGTTTGTTGTTGTTTCTGCTGTTTTTTCGCCTTCTTTTACCTTCCATATACATATAGAAATCCATGGGATGGATGGATGGATGGAAGAAACAGAGGAGCGAAATGAAAAAGTTTGCCTCCCCGGCTACAAAAGTCAATTTTGGGCCGAGACCAAAAAAAAAAACGAAGTGATATGATATGGGGCTTGGGTTTTTTGTTTTTGTTTTCATTTTTTTGTGACTGGTGCGAATACAGTGGTTAGTGCTTCGAGGGAACTGTACATGTTCGAGTTCTCTCAGTGACTCCTCTTCACGTGCAAACACTGTACTGACTCCTGTCCTGTACTTACTGTCCGTTATTAATATTTACCTAAGCACCCCGTTGAATGCCACACACACGAGAGGGAGAGCGAAAAAGCTAATAAAGTACGGTCCACTCATCTGATGATGGTATGAGGCACGTTTATGAGTTGCAACTCTTTCCAGCTTGCAACATCACTGCTGTAGGTTGCATCCATCCATCTTTGCTCCGCTCTTTAGCGGGTTGCATATAATTTACGGCTTTGTTAATGACATTTAAACATTTAAACACATGCGAAAAAGGCCAAAATGGCAACAACACAGCACCAGCCACACATTTGACACATGGCAAACTACAGTGCCCCCTCATGCCACATGCCACATGCCACATGCCCCCTGGCCCCAGTGGCTCCCTCACACACTCCAGGAGCCGAACAAACCAATTATAATTGATGTGGCACATTGCATTTATTTAATATTGTTGGCCATTGGCTTTACACGTGTTCGCCGTATTAAATTATTATGTGTGAAAACAATTAATTATGCGGCAAACAAAAAGCAGAACAGAGAGCGCACAGTGCAAGAAATAACAATAATACCAATAAAAGTCAGACGAAAAGGGAGCTGGGGAATAAAAACAGATTGCTCATTATGGAAATCACGCCCAAAACTCACAAAAGTAGGCAACAAAGTGGCATCCCGATAATTATATCCTGGCATGAAAGGGTATGCTGATTAGTGGCAGATGTTGGCAAAGCAGAGGAGAAGGTATTTTATATCTAGCCGGAATTTTGCCCCAAAAAGTAATGACAGAAATCGGATCAAAATTTCATATTCGAATGACTATAACCCATAACAATCACAATGCACCTTCCAGGGTATCAATCGTTGTCAGCCTCCAAAGTCTAGCCTTTAATTCTTCTTTTATTGAAAAGGCATTAAAAATGGCCCCGTACTGACCGCAGGCGTTGACAGGATGTGTGGGCCATGTGGGTCGCCCGATTCTCATTGAGAGCCAACATTGTTGATGCAACATTTAACATTTGTTGTTAAGGTCAACATCATTAAGCGGAGAGCGGAGAACGGAGAGAGACAGGAGGGCAGGGAGCCAGAAGCCAGAAGCCAGGGCAGGAGGCAGTAGATCTGACAGGAGAGCAAATGGCAGCCCATAAATTATGGCTCAAAAAACCAGAGACCGAGAACGGGGCTGGAGGTGGCCTGGCAAACTTTCAACAGAAAAAGTGCAGCAATTAAATATTTGCTTAACTGCAGACACACCCATATAGTGGCGCAGGGAGAGGACGGGGACGTGCAAACAGTTGCAACTTTTTGGCCACAATTCATTTGGTGGGTTGTTGCCACCTTTCTGGCCCATCACCACAAACTGAGGGCAAGGCAACCCGTGGGGTCTGGGGCGTGGACAATTCAAATTGAAAAATTATATGCACTTTAGGTGCGAGTGCTGGCCCATCGCAGGGATACAGGACACGAACTCGGACTCTATATATCTCTCGCTCACTCTCTGTCTCTCTCTGTGGCAGTCGCCGTCTCGGCGCCGCCGCTTGACGAACAGCGAGTGAAAAATTAATAGCAATTTATTCAAGTCCCTCCTCCTCTGGCAAGCAACCCCCAGCAGCAATCCTTCCAGCGAACCGCTTTTAAATGTATTTTTATGTATTTCTGCGGACACTGGTAAGGTCAAGGGTTCACACACGATGGGGACTCGCAGTTAAAAGTTTAAAAATTATTCGCAATTAAAGCAAACAAATTAAACAACTTTCCCATGCAACGTGGCTGTGGCTGTGGCTGTGCCTGTAAACTGAAGTTACAAATGGATTGCCTTTTGCCTCGGAATACATTTCACATAATTATAATTAGAGCAGATAATTGATGCTCTCCGTTTGGTAATGCATCCATTTCCACTTGAGATTCGAGGAAACCCTAAAAAATAAGAGAGTTTTAGTTTTAGGAGGGGAAGAAGTCATTCAACTATTCCTTCTGTCAGGAGGTAATTTACATTACCATTCTCTCTCTCCGCACATCATCATCATCATCATTGGGAGTTCCTGCGTCTTCCACTTCCTATGGGATACACCTGCACATTCCTTAGACACGTAGTGCCAGTGCCGCACACATGTCAAAACCCCACCCTGCCCCAAGACACTGTCTCTCTCTCTCTCTCTCTGAGTTCTTTGTTTTTTTTTGTGGATGAATTTTAAGTTACTCCTGAGATTTATATCAACTTTCACCGTGAGGGCCATAAATTATGTGGCGTTCGTTTCGTTTCACATGGAAATTCCACAGACATTTCCCTAGACCCCAGTTCAGTTCTCTCAGCGCTGGAGATGCCAGTCCGCCGGTCCCGTGGGTTTTTTCACTCGTGACGTTTATTGTGCGGTTGTTACTTGATATGTTTAATGAGAAATGTGATGTCTTGGGGGATTGCTGGAGAAAGCCGAGCAGTACATGCAATATCGCTAGAGAGAGAAAAAGTGAGCAGAGCAGAGCACTTGACATTTCATTGGGCAGTTTTCTTGTTGATTGTTGTCCCAATGGTAGATGGAACATCACTCTTTAAAAAGGTTTGTTTAAAAGCAGCGCTCGAGCTGTCTTTAGTTCAAGCATTTCAAATCAGAATTCGCACTTTCTGCTGCAAATATTTGATTACAATTCTGATTAAAAATGAATTCCATTTAAATGTGATAACATTAACGATTCAGGTTGAAACAGATTACAGCGCTGGCAGTAGATTACCACTAAAACTCGACGTATTTTGACATTAAACAGGTATTTCCCTTGAAAGAAAAAAACCATTTCGTGCATTTTTCCCAGTTTCGAGTGGAAAATATTTGCTGCGAAATTGATTGTCGCAGCTGTTGGCTGGCAAAAGAAAAAGGAAAATCATAATTTTTCCACGACACGTTTCCCTAATTTCCCTCGACCCACATTTCTCAGTCTCGCCGTCTCTCAATCTCTCATCTCTCAGTGGGCTTTTATCAAAAGTGATAAATTTAATTTATTCAGCAGCGCCGCCTAATTTATGTTTTCCTAATACGCAACTAATTTCGCCAGGTCTTTCTCCCGTTGTCTCTTGAGAGAAAATTGTGGAGAACCGAACCAGAACTGAACAGAGATCCCCCCACACTCGCCCCATTCAAAGAAAAACGTTTTATTTATAAACAATTAAATTTGATTTGTCGCTGGCTGAAACACAGATTTTGGTTTCAACAGTTAAATTTACAGATGATTTATGGTGAAATAATAATATTAAATCCCCCAGTGAAAGTTCTTTCTCTCTCTCTCTCTCTCTCTCTGGGCCATAAAATATTGAGAAATGCGGCAGTGTGGGCCATAAAGATGAAACCGCAGCAATGGCTAAAAGTATTTCCCTGTTAATGCTCCTCGTGTTAATCAATTTCTTTCCATTTCCTTCCATTCCCCAATGGCCGGAATGAATGTGCTTCTCAGGGTCCAAAGACAGCCGCAGAACCGAACCGAACCGAACCGAACAGAGAAGAAGAAAGCATCTCTCAAAGAAGATCCTCCTCCTCTTCTTTCCGGCCTGACACGAAAGTTAATGAACTTTCGCTGTTCGCTGTGCGAAATACGTAATAAATAAATACACAAATTAACCCAGCCTCAAGTCAGACTCTGGCTTCCACCGGAGAGCTTTCGGTGCGTTCCGATAACCCCACGAGAGAGATGATTGATCTCTGATTCCTCGAGGTACTACAATTAGTTCGGGTTTCTATATCTCTCTCTCTCTCTCACTCCCTCTCTCTATCTTGCTCTGTCGCAAGGTAGTACGTCAATGGCTCAAGTGGAAATTCATTCATTCCGTGTAGTAGTAGCTCCTACGCGTAATCTCGGTTCGGTCGCATCCAATTTTGTTCCATTTTGTTAGTCGTATTCCATTCGCGCAGCTGCCAGCAGTAGTCAGAGGCAGGCGATAAGCCAGAAATTGGGTCGCGTTTCGCTATAAAGCAGTTAGATGTCCGTTCCGACATTATTATGTTCGTTCGTATCGTCCTCTCTTTCGTTTCATCTTTTTGCGCTAAACATTTCTGTGTGGCGTCGTTAATAATGTTTTTTTTTTTTTCGTTTTCTTTCGCTGCTTCGTTGACCTCAAAACAAAATAAAATAGAATAAAACAAAAACATAAGCAGAGGCAGAAGCAGAAAAAAAACTTTGAGCTTGTCGCTTGTTGTTATTTTTGTTTACGCATTTCGTCAGGCGACAGGTGCGTTTCTATATCTATCAGATTTGTACATCATTATATCTACATGTGTATATAGCTAATACAGTACGTTTCATAGAGCTAAAGAGGCTGGAGGAATTCTAAATGAAAACATTAAGCAATGAAATCGGTTATTTGCCTCGCGAAATTAGCTCTAGAAAGCGATCGATCGTATCAGTAAATGCCACAAATTGACTCAAGTTCGTTTCAGTAAATCTTTTAAGGGTGCCAAAGATCTTATATTTTTGAAACGCACAGCATTCGTTCCCCCTGACATCGGTGGGTACGAGCATTTTGTCAACGATGTTCTGGGGTTGTCACTTTAAAAGCCCAGAGTGATCTCCCTTTGGTCGATCATCTTTTACAGCCAATTATGTGCGCTATTATGGCCAAATTCCCATGTCACTCACTGCATAAAGCATTTTCACCGAATAATCGTGAAATACGTTCACAAATTAGCTCTCTGTCGCTCTGTCAAGACATTATCTATGTATATCCATGGTTGGTCTGTGTGTCTGTGCGGTTGGGGATTGGGAGGAGGTTGCTGGTGCTCTTTCATTTGATTTGTCTATTAGTGAGGCGGGGGGGAGGACCTCAGTGCTCTAGACCAGACGCCCACCTACGTTGCGTTATAATTATAGCCAAAGGCTTGTCGCCTGCAATTAACCAGGCATGCCCGCCCGCCCGGGTAGCCGTTGGACCCGCGCTGGACCCGCGCAGACGGATCCATGCCAGAATCGTTTAAGTTGATGGGCGCTTTGAAGCGATCTAATGTGTGGTCCGTGGCGGGTCTATGGCAGTTGATAGCTTCTTCCGCTTTCAGATTTCGCTGATTTTTCACGAACCTCACGTTCAGGCTGATAAGAAATGGGTGGGTAGGAGGAGTGATGATAAGCAAAATCCGTATGCCGCTGAAGCAATGAACCTTTTTCTGTGTGTCACCTGATGTGATCAGTCTACGTAGAACGTCTTTCTGCAACGATAGAGAAGCGTTAGATTTTGTTTACCAACATTGCTAATCCGCAAACCTATCGCATTCCGGCCCTGATCCCCTAACAAGTTGTTTACGCGCGGTACACACTCGCTCTGATCGATTGAGATCCCGTTTCTTATCAGCAGCATGCAAATACCCCGAAAATTCGTGGAAGGTGCTCCGAAATACTTTTCCATCTGAAATGAGATTCCATTAATTAGGCAGAGGAGGGAGCGAGACCACACTATACATACATACATACACATGTAGATGAACGCACGTGTGCGCCTGCTTATCGAAGCTAAGGCCACCGGGGGGGTCAGACTGTACCTTGTGCCCAGCCGCTCGAGTGGCGATCCCGCGTAATTGCTTAACCATGCGCTCCCACTGAAATGGATGGGAATGCTTAGTGGAATCAATCAATTTTCCAACTTTAGCTCAAGTGCTTTAGCTCTCCCCCTAAAACACTAACCGTGCACTTGAGTCATGCCGCAGTCAGTCAGTCAACCCCTGGGACCCCTGGGCATCTTCGTGGGGGCATTGTTAAAGGTAGCTTCAATTGGCATTTCCGCTGTCAGTCCATCACAAATACATATAACAATATAATACAAACAATAAAGCGCATAAGAAGAATCCAAATCGGCTGACGCATCCACAAAATGGAGCACCACTCAGAGAGTGCGGCTTACCTTTTGTAACGTGTTCACATCCACATGGCATCCACTGTAGGCGTAGTAGTAGTACGGCTGTACGGCTGTACGGCTGTACGGCTGGGCTGCCATTTTCATTTTCATTTCACTTTGCTTTGCGTTACATTTAATTGATAACGACGACGAAGCGACAACAAAGCGCTTCCATTGTGTGTGAATCTGCGGTTTAATGCCCGCTCTAGAGGTACTCGCTGCGCTGCTCTGCGTTCGTAGGTAGGCGTATCACAAATAAACGATTGCGGTGTTCGCTGCGGTGCGGTGTGTGCGGCGACAACCTGATTAAGCCGCTCAGTGAGTGGGCCAGAGCGAGAGGCAGATAGCGTGACTTCGAAGATAACGGGTTTCGGTATGCTAGTGTGTGAGTGCAACAGGTAGCCATGCTGGTTTTTTGACTCTCTTTACACACTTTGCTTCGTTACCTGAAGACAAATGATACATGAATGGTGGCACTCGCTCTGCACTGAAAGAAAGTGTGACGTCAAAAATCAGTCAAAGAGAACACTAAAATGAATGAAAATCAGGTAAAATAACAAAGGAAACGGAAATTTTTGTTGCTTTTCCGGCCATTTAGTATTAGCGCAGAACAGGCACGCCCTCCCAACCTCCTGCACAGCCGGCGCCGCTCACATTTCACTCAAATGAAAAATCCCATTGTGGGAAAAACCATTTTCCGTTGTTTTTTAACACACATCACAAACACAAATTAGGCCCCAGGGCTCGTCACCGCCACAGCCCATGCACGCTTTATGGGCGTATAAATGTATTATTTTTTTCCACTTGCTGAACAAATAAACACAGTGTCACGTTAATGTACAAACTAATTAGGTGGGGATAGTTTTTGGATGGCTGTTGGACCCAGCCCACCGAAGAGGGGCATTCTGATCTCATCTCGAGTTTAAATTGATGATTATGACTAATAGGTTGGCCGCAAGGCCCGTTAATTGAAATTCATGCCAAAGCCCTGGGTTCTGAGTAACCCCGCGTCGAGCCAAAGTCCGAAATTGTATTTGCAAAGACAAAGGCCAGGCCTGTGCACAGGCAGCGGCTGAATAATAAGGACTGTGTGTGTGTGTGTGTCTGTGCGATCGACAATGTCATGAACTTTGCAACAATTTAATAAATATTTTAATGGGGCAAAATATTGAAAAGCAGCAAAGGTGAGCAGCACTTTCCAGCAATGGATGGATGGGAAAGTTCATTGCCTTAACGGTAAACAAAACACATGCACACGATCCGAGAGTGGAAGCGGGAGAAAAACACGTGTTGCCATATGTCCGCAAAGTGCCGCAAATCTTTCAACGCAGCAGCTAAGTGGAGGAGGATGCGCCACCCAACCCCTGCACTATGTGGCGGCTCCACTTTCCCTTTCACACACACAATGTTTCGTTAGGCTCCACCTTTGGGCCGGAGATGGAAGGCAGATGCAACGCGGCTGCATTTTTGACGAGTTCAATTTGTAGCCAAACAAATCAAACGCAAAGCACAAACAAAATGCATTTGATTTGCATCAGCTGTTGAAACATTTTCATTTGATTTGATTTGATCTCGCTTTTGTTTATTTCCACACACTTTTGTTAATGTTTTCTTTGTCGCGTATTCATTCCCAATTTCCACTCTTTCCTCTTTCCTACTCTGCAGCAGCACCAGCAGCAGCTGAGCGCAGCTTGCTGTCTTGCGGTCCTTATCTTGCTCTCTCGCTCTTACACGGTCGCGTGGGGTATTTTCGTAGTTTACTTCTTATCCACCTTTCGCTTCTGTTCTTGTTGTTACTCCACCTTACCTCCACGTTCGCCCTCTGACGATCAGCGGTGCGCACTGTTTTCTGCTGTTGTCCTCGTTCCCGGCTCTCATTTCGGTCTCGTTTCGCGCTGTGCGCGCATGAATTTCTGTTCTGTTTGATTGAAGTTGTTTTTTTTGCATTATTTCCCGGTTTTATAGTATTTCGCGGGTCAAAAAATATCACAAAATATCGCATTTACGACTCCTGCCGCAAGCAGACGCGCGGGTACTGCTGTGGCTGCTTTTGATTTCTGATTTGTGTGTTTTTGCGTCTCTGGCTTTGCCTTGAAACAAATTAGAAAGCCGTTAAATTTCAAGCAAATAAATACATTTGTTGTTTTAAACAGTTTTTATTACCTGTGCCTTGGTGTTCGTTTCTCTTTCGCTCTCTGTGTCTTCGTTTTGCATGTGTGTGCGTGTGCATGTGGCCTCGAAATAGAGAAGAAACAAAACAAAAATGACAGCGGTTGCTGCTGCTTTTATGCCAGCGTCAACGCAACAAAAAGAGATGACCACCAAGAACGTTTTCAAAAGGGTTACACATGCGGGGGAACAGGCAAGAAATAGTTTTTAAGAAAAGGTAGAGCGAATATGCGTAATAGCAATATTTGACAATGTAAAATGTAAAAATCTATCTTGGAACTAGAAGAGTGTAACTTCTTTTTGACACCCACCATTTCACTATCTTTGGACATGTCTAGACATGTTTGGGTAGCAATAGCACACAATATAACCATCTCCCTCTATCTCTTGCGTTTTGCAGACTTGCCGTATCTGCCACAAAGCCTTCGCGAATGTCTACCGCCTGCAACGGCACATGATCAGCCACGATGAGTCGGCGCTGCTACGAAAATTCAAGTGCAAGGAGTGCGACAAGGCGTTCAAGTTCAAGCACCACCTGAAGGAGCATGTGCGCATCCATTCCGGCGAGAAGCCCTTCGGCTGCGACAACTGCGGCAAGCGTTTCTCGCACTCTGGCAGCTTCTCCTCCCACATGACCTCCAAGAAGTGCATCAGCATGGGCCTGAAGCTAAACAACAATCGGGCGCTGCTCAAGCGCCTGGAGAAGAGTCCTGGCTCCGGGCCCCGCCGTTCGCCTTCGGACCTGCAAGGCCCCAAAAACGGTGCCGGAAAGATGTCTGATCAGCAGTCCCTGCCTCCACTGCCCAATCCCATGATCTACTTTGCCGGCGAGGCACAAGCGCAGGCTGCGGCCGCTAATGGAGCCCCTCCACCGTTCTACCCTAACTACATGAATGCTGCCCTGCTGGCCTTCCCCAATCCCTTCATGGCAGCGGCCCTGGACCCCCGCGTCCACCCCTACAGCATACAGCGGCTCCTGGAGCTGACGGCCGCCGGACAACAGCAGCAACAACAACAGCAGCAGCAGCGCGAGGAACGCGAGGAGCGGGAGCAGCACGAAGAGCCTGCGACGCCGGAGGAGCCAAAGCTGGTCATGGACATCGACGAGGCTGAGGCCAAGGAGCGTTTGGTGCCACAGGCGAGCCCGCAAACCATGCCAGAGGAGATTGAACCGGTTGTTGCCGTGGCCACAACTCCCATCAAGCAGGAGACCAGCCGAGAGCCCACCCCACTCCCGGAGAGTGCACCGCCTTCGCCCAAGTCATTTAAGCAAGAGCAGGAGGAGCCTCGCTCCCTGGAGGAGGATCAGCCCATGGAATCGACTCAACCTGAAGCAACTGCCTCTTCCCCCAACAATACCCCCGTCGAGCTGCGGTGCAGTCGATGCGACAAGCAGTTCAATCACCACACAGAGCTGGTGCAGCACGAGAAGGTTCTCTGCGGCCTGATCAAGGAGGAGCTGGAGCAGCACTACCACCAGCAGCAGCACCAACAGCAGCAGCACCAACAGCTACAGCAGCATGAACAACTCCAGCATCAGCAGCAGCAGGCATCCTTTGCGCTGCCCTCTGCCAGCGAGGATGACGACGAGGAGGAGGAGCGCGAGAACGACAATGACGCAGAGCAGCGTCCAGACAGCAACGAGCGCAAGGTGCGCGTCCGCACGGCCATTAACGAGGAGCAGCAGCAGCAGCTGAAGCAGCACTACGCGCTCAATGCGCGGCCGAGTCGCGACGAGTTCCGAATGATTGCCGCCCGCCTCCAGTTGGATCCACGCGTGGTCCAGGTATGGTTCCAAAACAATCGCTCACGAGAGCGAAAGATGCAGAGCTATGCGAGTGTCCACACGACAGCCCCAGCCACCAACGAAGTGCCCACCACTCCGGTTTCCAGCCGTCCCACAACCGAGGATCAGCCCCTGGATCTGTCCGTGAAGCGTGACTCCTTGACGCCCAAGAGCGACCACTCCGCCGTGTACGGATTGCCCCAGCAACAGGCTGCCGGACAGCCAGCACCCGCCGACTTCCAGGAGGCCATCAACCTGAGCCGCAAGTTCTCCAGTTCGGCCTCCATGTCGCCAGCCTCGCTTTCGCCCTCGTCGGGTGCCTCTCTGCAGCAATCCTCTGCAGCTGCCGCCGCCGCAGCTGCAGCGCTCTGGCCATTTGGCGGCCCGCCTCCGTCGCCGCCCAGCCAGCACGAGGCCACGTCCGCCCAGCACTGCTCTACGCCGCGCGGTGGCCAGGCCTTCCCTGGACTCCAGTACATGCTGCCAATGCAGCGACTGCCCATGGAGGCGCTCTTCCAGATGCGCCCTGGCGGCGAGTACGCCCCCAATCCCCTGATGAACAGTATTAAGATGCCCGACTTCCGTGGCACCAGCCTCAGTCCGGGCGGCTCCGAGAAGCGCTCCTGGCGTGACGATGACTCGCGCATCTCCCACGAGGACGACTTTGGCAACGGCCTGATGCCGCCCAAGCCACGCCGAGGCAAGGCCGAAACCCACGGGCATGCCGGGGATCCGGATCTGCCATTCGTCTGCGACCAGTGCGATAAGGCTTTTGCCAAGCAGAGCTCCCTGGCGAGGCACAAGTACGAGCATTCCGGTGAGTATTCCCCCCCTAGAGATATTCCGAACCGAACCCTTGACTAACCTTCTTTATCGTTTTGTAGGTCAACGACCCTACCAGTGCATGGACTGCCCGAAGGCCTTCAAGCACAAGCATCACCTGACGGAGCACAAGCGTCTGCATAGCGGGGAGAAGCCCTTTCAGTGCTCCAAGTGCCTGAAGCGCTTCTCCCATTCGGGAAGCTACAGCCAGCACATGAACCACCGCTACTCCTACTGCAAGCCATACAGGGAATAGGTAAGCGACACCTCAGTGCCGCCCACCTGCGCCTCAGCAGCCGCCTCAGGAACGGGGCCACCGGCGCCCAGCGGTCGCCGTGGTCGCGGCCAGTCAACCGCCGCCCGTTCCCAGGCCAGCAGCAGCACTTACCCGCCGCATCCACATCCGCACCAGCATCCACATCAGCACCAGCATCAGCATCCACTGGCGGCTATGGCCGCCTTTCAGCAGCAACAGCAAAGGATGCACCAACAGCAGCAACAGCATCAGCGTCTGTCCTGGCCACCGTCCGTGCCTGGTGCTGGAGTGATGCTGCCACCACCATCCAATCAACAACAACAGCAGCAGCAACAGCGTCCCACGGCGCCGCCACCACCTCTGCTTTCGGGCTCAGGATTTGGGCAGCCGCCACCGCAGTTCTTTCACCATGCCGGCCTGCTGCCACCGCCTCCACCACCAGCCCCAACATCGGGGGCGGGAAATGTGCGATTCGCTGCACCACCAACGCCGCCCTCGGGCGTTCCGTCCCACGGCGCCTTTGATTTCTTCAATGCCAAAATGTTGCTACACTAGGCACGCGCGGTGGGTGTCTTTGCTAGCCGCGAAACGGTAGTGGCGACGGGTGCGTGTCCCGGCTTCAACCTACAATAACCGCTAAATGTGAACGATAACAGTGGTCGTTAACAGTGCACTTACATGCTGTACTTAAGAAAAACAGAAACAAAAAACCGAAATGAAACAGAAATCTCAAAAATGTGCAGGAACACGTAGAAGGAGATAGAGTGCACCCTAGACAGAGACAGAGCGATAGATGAGATATTTTTTATAGAAATATAAACGAAAAGAAGGAAGAAGGAGGAAAGGAGAGAGCTTGATCGAATCCAAGAAGAGCAGGAGGAGAAGAAACCTTTCGTTGGAGCGAATTTATTATTATTATTTTACAATGTTGCATCCATTTTGTTTTTAGTATTTGCTTAGTTTAACATCATTTTGTTTTTAGTTTACCGCCTAAGTTCTGGCCAGTTTTTGGCCAGTGCCCAAACCCAACCCCATCCCGAACTCCCTGCCCCATTTGATATACATGCATAGAGTGTATCTATATTTTTGTATACTATATTTATGTATAGTTTCCCCAGTACCAAGTACTGCAGAATACTCAGAAGTACTTTAGTTTCCACTCCTTGATGGAATAAATGTTTATTTCTTATAGTTTTTACATCGGTTTATATCGTTTATGTTTAAGCGTTCGAGCCAGGATGGGTTACCTACCATTTGCATTCAATTCCTCAAAAAAACACACAGAAAACTTCCGGACCAAACAAACAGATTATGAACCACAGACAATATCCCCGAGGACTCAAAAGTATTACCCCCAGCGTGAAAACTGTATTAAAGACCCTAAGAACCCTCCCCTCTTCAGATGGAAAACCCACCGCTTGCAGCGCGTTTCAAGCTCTTCTACTTAAGGCATACCACCCCCTATTATAATCCTCTCGAATTACGCTTCTAACCCGCCACCACCACCGCTCGAATCATCGATACAGAGAGAGGTTGAGAGAGAACACACCTACTAGATCATTCCATTCGGCCAGAGGTGAGGCTCCCACACTCGAAGGGGGTCTCTCTCATGGGTCGCCTCATGCATTTAGGCCTTCTGCCGGGCTGCTGCTAAAGAACACCCCACTAAAACTACAACTAAAACTAAAGCTAACTCTAAACTAAACCACAACTAATATTTAATATATATACGAACCTAAACCTAAACCTACAACTAAAGTTAAACGAAAACAAAAAGTTAATTTGGCCTTATTAAAGATTATTTAACAATTAAAACATTTAAAAAGTTTAGCCTGTAAAATAAGAAGAAAAAACCAAAAACCTTTGGAAAAGTCTCGCAGAAAAGTAGTAGGAAAATTCCAAGAAAAACCAAAATAAGATTAACCATAAAAAAGTGTTTGCCATGACAATAAATTTATATAATGTAAAAGATAATGCTTTCGATTCTAGCTCAAATTTCAACTTCAATTCTAATCGTTTTCCACCTCAGCCTGCGCCTCCGCACAAATATAATTCTATAATTACGTAATCCAACACAAATATGTACACAAAAAAGGTTTCCCAAACAACGAACATTTTCTTTGTCCTAGGATTTTCTTGCTTTTCCACAGACCTCCCCAAACAAAAAAAATGAGAACAAGAAGAACTCACAAAAAAATGCATTTAATACTTAATTCATTTTTATATATTTGTATTTTAACTGAAGGATCGATCGGTGGCAGGATCGAAGGATATATATATATATATGTGTATATACATATATTTTTTGTAAATTATTTCGCCAAAACACAAAGCTAGAGAATCCAAAAAACAAAACCCAAAACAAAGCGCAGATTTCGGAAATGAAAACAGAGCCCGCAAAAGTTTTAGCATAAATTTAACAATAATTACTATTACTACCAATGAATACTTAGCCTAGTTAAAGCCCCCCAACTTCCCCTTACTCCCACGCCCTTAACAAGAACAAAATGTTAACTTAAAAATTTAAACTAAAGAAACGAAAAAAAAAAACTTACTTTTAAGCGCAAATATTTTGTGGTTTGTGATGGGAGTCGACGGATATTTGCACTCTAGGGCCTTATATGAGATACACAAAACACACACGATTGTTAGTTATTTAAAGGATAATGGATAAACACTTAATGGAAAGGATTGAGAGCCTTGCATCGTTTTTACTATATACCTATATGTTCCAAACTACTACCTTGTTTTCTACTTCCCCAACTATCCCCCAAAGAACACTCTCTGTTAAAGTTGTTTCACCCTCAAACACACACACACTCTTTATGTAAATAAGCCACAGATATAGTATATACAGATATATATATGTATATGTATGTGTAGGATATATACGGAGCAGAAAGCAGTCGAATGTATTATTTGTTTTATTTGTATGTTCAACAATAGAGCGATCCCTAAATTAAGCGAAAGCCAAGCCTAAGCATCAAATGTTCATTTTTTAATTGCTCTACAGAGAACACCCGCTAAAAGAAACACCCAAGAAAAGAATACACTAAAAGAGAGTTGAAAGAGATAGATAGAGAGAGATAACGATTCAGATAACTTATATTTCAAATATTACGCATAAATGTATTTTAATCAAAGTAAGCAAACAAAAACGAACGATTCAATGATTCAATGGATAAAAAACATGCATTCATATAAATGAATAAAACCTTTTTGTCTTGATACATTTACAAAAAAACAAAACAATTATTATAATTATTAAATTTACAATGTGAAAATAATAAACACAAAAAAAAAAAATGAAATTATTAAAATTTAAAACAAAAGATTTCTTATTTTCGGACAGCGTCATATGGAATGGGATTAAAATATGGTTTCGGAAATGCTTTGGTGGTGCAGCAGTTTTAAGTATTCTCCAAGAAAATTAAAATGCTAGAAGCCATTGCTCATATAGTCAGTAACATCTGATTACTGACACAGACAAGTGCTAATCTAGAATATACATCAAAACTTTACTCTTAGATTGTACAAACCCCTATCTTGCATTTGCTGAAAGTCCATTCATAGAGACACATGATAGTCCCCAAGGAAAGCCTTCACGTAGCCTCAGATTTCTGAAACATCTCCCATATAGCCTCTAGAAAAAACATTTTTATATCAATTTGTTGTTTTCCATTTATTAATTTGTTTTAGTAAACTAATTGGCCAAGGCACACACAGAGTTGGTTTGTATTTTCCCCTTCAATTAGCCCGATTTCTCATCTCACATTTAATATTTATATACTACACATATTCATACATAATTAGATAGATAAAATACAAACTAGATAGAAGATATTCATATAAAAAAACACACGCACATACAAACTGAGGCTAATTTGAATGGGGAAAACGAAACACGTTTACACATTTCAGGCGCTTTGATCCAGCGCCTAAGATAAACGACAAACAAAAAAAACTGATGTACTCTCGCGCCTTATGTGTTAGGAATTAAACTAGATTATGGTTAGGCGGTTGGTTCTTCTATAAACTAAAAAACATCTTAGACGGTACACAACTTTAGCATAAATAAAAATGTATTGCATATAGACTATATATATAAGGTTTAACTATGTATAAGGATTAAAATGTAGGTTTGCTTTACAATATTACAATAACTCCTCCTCCTCCTCCTCCATTCTTTCTCGTTGCTCGTTTTTGTGTTGAATTCTCCTTCTGCTTCCTCTACTTTCATTATTTCATTTAAACAATTTCATTTGGCATTCAACAAGTTGGTCTAACATTGCTTTAGATATAGTAAATATATAATATATATAGAAATAGATATAGATATACGTAGGTATCTCTTAGTTTGTTCTTGTTTTTGTAGGGTTTCTTGTAGATGCTGGACACAAGTTTGAAGACATTTCAATAATGAGCAGTGACAGAGATGGGCGTGGGTTCGTAGATAGAATAGCGCAGAGTGGTTCTGTTAGATTAGATTAGGCTTATAAGACCCGCTTATATTGCTATCGCTCAACTTATATGGTCGCCAATCGATGATGTTCCGTGTCGATTCTAAATCTGAATCTGTGCTTGGGTGGGTGATGGCCTGGACTAACCAGCCTGCTGAATTAGTTGCCATCCATCGATTGGTCGCCTGGTCCCCTGGTTTTGGGTTGTAAAGTGGATTTGGGCTTAGGTAAATTCGCTTCGCTCAGTGTATATGTATATAGAGGGTAGAGTTCTCGTTTTAAGGCATTCTTGTTTCTTTTCTTAGCTTTGAGCACCAGAAATTGGTTCCAATTCTTTCAGGTTCTTTGCACGCTTAATAGACTGCTGAACCTAGATATATACAGATATCTATGGTTTAGAAATTATTTTCCAAAGTTATGACTCGTTCTCGCTTTCCCTCTCGTTTCTTTTTTTAGTTTTTCTCTTTAAATTTATTCAGTTCATGCACTCAAGCATATGATATATTTGTATTTATATGTGTAGTTCCCTCTATTCTCTCCTTCTACTTTCTCCTATAAATTATATAATCTATATAGTTTCATTCTCCTGTGGGCTGTTCGTCACACAGCGGGCTCGCCTTTGTGACTATTTGACTAACAATTGATTGGGGGTTGGTGGTGGTTCCGGGGTTTGGGATTCAGACGTAGACCGGCCCCTGGTCGTCCGTCATATCCGGCTGCTGTTTGTCATCGAAGAATCTCCTAAAGGTAAATTCGAAAAATCCATGGAATTGCCTGTCGTTCAGCTCGATGTCGTCGCCGCTGCTCATGTTCGAATCGTTGGAACGCAGCTTGTCCGGATCGACCGGATCGAAGTTGGACGTGTCCGTGGGATGCTTGATCTCGGGTATGAAGGGCGCCTTCTGCTTCCGCATGTCCGCAAAATCGATGCCCTTGAAGAAATCATGGCTTTTCACCTCATCCACGCTCTTGCCCAGCCGCTTGTCCGCCGATGCACACAGCCGTCGAATTAGATCGGTGGCCTCTCGCGACAGCTCTGCCTGCGGCGGTATGTGCAACGTTTTCTCCCAGTTTATAACCTGAAAATGAGTGAACAAAATCGTTAGATAAACTAATCTTCCAGTGACATTTCAATTGTTTGTTTCACCTTCTGTTGCGTTTCCAGTGGAGTATTGGCCAGGAATGGCGGCTGACCCACCAGCATCTCGTAGAGAATAACTCCGACGCTCCAATAGTCGCACAGCTGCGTGTAGCCGCTCCGCTCCAGCACCTCGGGCGCTATGTAGTTTGGTGTTCCCACCAGCGAGTGGGCCAAAACTCTTTGGTGATCGCGCATTCGCCGCCTAAGGGATCACAGAAATACGAAGATTTAGGACTAATCAAGAGGGTATTCATGGGCATAGAATTACCGCTCCAGCACAGTGGGTTTGGGTCCATTTTCCGAGAAATCCTCCCACGGTTCCATCGAGTCCTGCCGCGAGTGATTGCCTAGAAGGGATAAAGATGATTATAATGGTTATCTTTCTGTTCGATGCATTGCCTTACCATTCTCCTGATAGTACTTTGAGTTATGCGTCCATCGGAAACCCGTGCATAGACCAAAATCGGTGAGTTTTATGTGTCCGACACTGTCGATGAGTATGTTGTCAGGTTTGATGTCTCTGCAAGAAGGTGAACAGGGGAATACATAAGTAATATTCAGAGATTAGAGCTTGTAATAGTTTACCTGTGAATGAAGCCCATTTTGTGTACACTGTCCACGGCGCAGGTGACTTCCGCAATGTAAAAGCGGGCCAGTTCCTCCTCGAAGATGCCCAACTTGATCAGCAGCGACATAAGATCGCCACCTAAACAGGACACACGACAGATTAGCAATAGGTAAACATGCATCAGAGGTTATATGGCTGGCTTACCGGGTATGTAATCCATCACAAAGTATAAATTATCCTTATCCTGAAAACTATAGTAGAGCTTCACGACCCAGTTGTTGTCGGCCTCGGCCAAGATATCACGTTCGGCTTTCACATGCGCCACTTGGTTGCGCTTGAGGACATCGGCCTTGCGTAGCGTCTTCATGGCGTACAGATGATTGGAAGTGTCGATCTTTCGGACGAGCGTCACCTCCCCAAAGGCACCCACGCCGATGGGCTTGATCTTCACGAACATGCTCTTGTCCATCTTGGCCCGCTTGAGGCGGATGTAGTTGCTCTCCTTCTGGTTAAGCATCTTCCGCATCTCGATCTGCGTCTCGTCCGGTAGCCCCACCTTCAGCATTTCCTTCTCCAGCTGGTTCTTGCGGTAGGTGCGCTGGCGATACGACTTAATCACGTTCTCGATGTGCTGCTCCATGAAGAACTTGAAAGCCTGCGGCGAATACTGCCGCATGCGACCCTCCTTCCGCTCCTCCTCCTTCTCCTTGGAGATCTTCCGTTCGGGTATCGGCGACGCATGCTTGATCTTCTTGCAGGCAGCAGCCGCGGCCTTCGCTCCCGATGAGGATGCTGTCGATGCGGATCCATTGCTGCCACCCGAACTGTTCGCTCCCGCTCCGCTGTACTTGGCGGGTGGTATTGGTGGCGTGGTGGCAAGGTTGCTGTTCGTTATCTGAATGTTGTTGTTATTGCTGGCGGGTTTACTGTCGTTGTTGTTGTTGTTGCTACTCTGGTAGGGTGGTGGGGGTGGTAGCTGTCTGCCAGCATTGCCATTGCTCGCCTTCTGCTGTTGCTGCTGCTGCTGTTGCTGTTGTGCCTGCGCTTGAGCCTGAGCCTGAGGGAAAATAAAGTTTAGTATGAGATCTCAATAATTGATGAAACACCTCGATAAATATCGATATCCTTACCTGTGCCTGAGCTTGTGCCTGCGCCTGGAGAGCTCTCAGCGTCTGGAGCTGTTGCTGCTGCTGCTGCTGTTGTTGCTGCTGCTGTTGCACCTGGACCTGCTGCGGATGCACAATGGCAGCCTTGGCCTGCATGCTCTTGGCATAGGAGGGCGGCTCCATGCAGGCGGGCTTGACAATCACCGATCCGTTGAGAGCGGATCCCATCAATGGCGGCGTTGTGGGCGTGGGTGGCTTCACGGCAGACGATCCAACCACCACAGACCCCGTGCTCGGAATCACCAGGAGCGGCGAGTGCTGATGGGCGGCTGCTGCCGCTGCCTGCTGCTGCTGCACAACCGCCGGCGACTTTTGAGGATAGGATGGCGGGGCCGCCATGACGTGGACCGGACTGTTGCTGGCGGAGGCACTGACGGGCGACTGGGGCGCCACTGCCGTCTGGAGCACCGGCTTCTGCACCTGCGTGCTCTTCACGCTCTGCATGATGATGGGCTGCTGGGTGCGCGCTTGGTACGCCCTCGGCTGGGGCTTGGCCAGGCCCACGGATCCCGCGGATACTGGCGGCGGTGGCAGGATGCCGCTGCTGTTGCTCACGGTGATGGGACTGGGCGATCCCGCCGATGTGGCCGAGTAGATGCCGCTGCTGGGGGACTTGCGGTAGTCCGATTGCTGCGACTGCGTCGGCGACTGGCGGGACTGCATCGAGGCCGTGTAGCTGGGCGGCGGCGGGGGCTGACTGCTGGTCACCACCACCGTATTGATGAGGTACGGCGGCGGTGGCTCCACCGCAGCACCATTGCCTCCGCCTGGGTACATGTTGAGCGCCTTCATCTGCTGCGAGAGCTGCTGCTGCGTCTTTAACCCGTTCTGCGGTATGACCGGCGAGGTGCCACGTGTCCCAGGCGCTCCTGGCGGTGGTGCTATCGCCGGTGGGCGGTTCAGAGCCGGCGACCTTCGCTTCACGTACGCCTGATTCGTAGGCGGTGGCGGCGGGGGCGTGGCCGAGCTGGAGGCCGTCGGATTCCGTGGTGGCGGCGCCGGAGGAGCCGCATCGCTGAAGCTGCTGGGCGACGGGGAATACGGACCAGTAGTGCTGGCCCGGCTGCCACCCCCACCGCCGCCTCCTCCTCCGCCGAGCCCCTGGTGCGAGTGGGAGTGCGGGCTGTCCGAGCGGGAACTGCCAGCGCCCGAGTCCAGGGCCGGACTACAGCGCAGATAGTGGCTCGGGGTGTCCCGCTCTATGCTCGCCTTGCGGATCAGTTTCGTGGGGATCAGGGGGTTCATCATCTTTGGCACGTGTCCATTCGTCTGCAGGGCCACGCCCACACCCACGCCGACGCCTACAACGGACTGGCCGCCTACGATGGCGGGTGGCGGGGGGATGACCACATCCGGCGACGGGGACGCCGATGAAGGTGGCTCCATAGGCGGCTTGACATGATGATAGTCCGGAGTAAGTGCATCATTGCGTCCATTGGTGGCTGTGTATCGCAGAGCTGTGTAATTCTGTAAAGAAGAAAGAGATTGACAGAATTAGTTAAAATCCAGTCTTTAAATTACTAAATATACACCAGAAATGCATCCATTTATCCCCCAACCATGTCCGATTACACCCACCCCCGTCATCTTCAGTGGGCTACGCCTCTGCCTGATCAACATTCCTGCACCTTCCCGACATGTATGCGTATGCATGTGCATTGGCATCGGTGTGTGTGTGTGTGTGTGTGAATATCAAAAACTAAACAAAAGCGAGACGCATACAAAACAAAACCAAATCAAAGGCAAAAGCAAAAGGAATAAGCAAAGAAGCAGCGCCTAAAACAAAAGGCCGAAGAAACACCAGCGCGAAGCGACCAAAAAAGCAATGAAATCAAATTCTTGCCATCGTCGAGAAATTCCTAAAAGTCAGGCGGCGCACACAGTGGGAGAGAGCGAGAGCGAACGAAGAACGAAACGAAAGGAGGCAGGCAAAAGATCAGAGCAAAGAAGAAGAGCAATCGCCGGTTGCGGCTGCCAGATGCGCCAAGTGGAAGCCCAAACGAACGTCAGAGCGAGATGCAAGGCAAGGGCAACCTTCGGCATTGATTGTGTATGCGTGCGAGCGTGTGTGTGTCGCCTTGTTCTTGTTTCCTTCACATGCGTTGCTGTTGTTGTCGCTGCCACTGTCGCTCTGCTGCTACCAGTTTTACGCGTTCTTTTGATGCCTCTTCTTGTTCTTCTTCAATCTGATTTTGCCCTTTTGTGACTGATCCTCGATTTTATGACTTTACCTCGCTTCCCCCTACTCGCTTCCCCTTTACCAATTTCAGTGACTGCTGCCTGACGAATGTGGATGGCATGAGGGTGGGGAGTCTGCTTTTGGATACCCTAAGTAGGGAATTATATCGACTATTTCGAGAGCATGTCTTTTTCTTTTCTAATCATCATCTCTAATTCTAGAAAAATTATAATAATTTAACGCCTTTGCACCCTCCACTTCACATGAATTTTTGTCTCTTGAGTTAAATTTGCTTAAAATTAAAACCAACGACGCGAAACCCAATAAAGAATAAGAAGACCCCCAGCAGACTTTCTGTCTGTTTCTCACTCTCACCCCCCTCCCTCTCTGTTCTGCTCTCCTTAGCGTCTTACAAGCAAGCCAATTTACTGCAAATTAGCAAAAGCCAATGGACACACTAAATCAACAAATGCAGGCAGGCAGCAACAAAAGTACTTTGAGGAGAGACGAAAAGTGTCGCCCACGCGAAATTTGCATTCCGCTAAATTCTCAAATAAAATAAATTGGATTTTGCCTTTCGAGGGGGCTCGGGACTTGTCCAACACTTTTGTTAATCCACTTAAGCGCCTTCTTTGCGGTACTGGCGATTGCTTACAATTGGCCAAGCGATTAACGGGTGGGCAAGGTCAAAGAAATTTACAGATTACACAAAACGGAACACCTTCCAGTACTCCCTCCCCCCCACAGAAGACGCAGATGATGCAGCCTTGACCGAATTGTTTCTTTGAACCTGACAGAAGGTATTATATATCCATTATTTGTTGCAGATCGAATAACTATGTATAGAGAAATGGATAGTGAGTGTTCCGAGACAGAGTGAAGAATTACGTTTGGTATTTCTCAAAAACATTCGAACAAACGCCAACAAAATACTTCAAAATTCGAAATTCTTGCCAAGGGGCAAATATTTGTGTAAAATGTACCCACATTGGGCACTTGATAAAAGGAACTAGCAAAATATCGAACAAAATTCATTTGGACATATGTAGACCCAAGTAATCCAACTATTGAGTATCTACTGTAAAAATATCTTCAATATGGGGTGAATACTGGCAATATCTGGCACTGATCGGACCAGATCTTACCATAACCAAACCAAAAGGCACTAGAGGCATGGGGGCATATCCATCAGTCCAAACATTCTGTCTGTTTGTTTGTGTTTGTATTCCATGTGAGTGTATGCGTTTGTCTGTTTGTCTTTTGTTATTATTAGAGGCAGAACACACACCACACAGATAATAGAATACATTATTTTTTCGGCGATTGCTTCGCCTGATATATGTTTGTCGGTTGAGAGTATAGTATTCGTATATTTAGGTGAAAATTCCTTAGAAAATAGCCAAAGCACACAGCCCAGCCAAAGAAATAATGAAAGGAGAAGCAAGAAAGCAGAAGAAAGCAAACCTAACGACAGGTTCAACAAATTTTTCGCACGAATATCGCGCAAATTAGTCGAAAATTGCACCCCAAGGAATTCCATTTTGGCTCGAAAATGTGAAATGTGTCCGTCGTGTCCGTGTCCCACCCATAAAAGATTCAAAGACAGCAGACACAGTGGCGTTGAGAAGTGAGCGAACTTGTGGATGTGTGGCATTTGGCTCTTTGAGCACCCGCCTTTCGATTACTGTTCCTGTTAAAAATATTGCAAAAATCCAAATTTCTATGCCTGATATTATTCTTGGGAACTGATTCCCCATCCGATCGCATAATTTACCGACTCACTGTTGGCCGCACACACTGCCTTATATAAATAGATGGATAAATTCGCACCAAATCTAAAATTGGGATTACATGTGTACGGCTGCGGGCCATAACCGGACCAAATAAGAGTCACCACCGATCATACATGTGGAGTGGGTGTCGCATGGCGATCGACAGACAGACCCTGCAGATCGGCATTTGTCAAACGCCGGTTCCCTGCCCCACACTGAACCCCTCGCATTTTCTTAACTTTGTTTACTAATTTATTTATGGATTATTTTAATTTTTATTGTAATGGCTGCGTGCCCCCGATGACTGCCACACTGCGTTGGCGTTGGCGTTTGCCTCTTGTTTATTTTGCTGCCTTTTTTTGCGTTTGATTTTTTATTTATTATCAGCATTTGTTATTTTAATTAATTTCTGCGCATACTTCTGCCGCAACTCGGTTCGGACGTGGTACACTTGGAGAAATTTTGCTGCAGGCTAATGGAGATCACTTTAGGAATCGCTTTTAAAGCTGCCACGAAATATAATTTGACCATCAGTTTCCCTAACAGAGATTTCTTCTTGGACTTCTATCAACATTAAAATTCAACCAGAAATAATGAAAATATTCCACAGAAACATTCTCAGATAAAATTCATTTTTGTTTGCCCAAAACTTTCTACAGTTTTTATCCACACAAAATATAGTGCAATATTTTTCTCCCAGTGCCTGGGTTGACCATTATTGATATTCAGATATTTATAGCCTGGCCAGAATGTCAGCGACGGCCCCAAGACATGCCTGTGGCTCCCCCTCTCTACGACACCCAATTTCCGAAATGCCGCCAAATATCGAGGAGAGGGGAAAAAAACATTTGCGTGGGCGGTGGAACATGGTCGCTGAAAAGTGTTGATCGGTGCTCGGGTGGCGGAGTTGCATAAATTCCGTATTTATTTATCGTTAAATCGTTTATCGCTTTGACATACGCCCTGCCCCCACAGCTATGACTCCTCTGCAGCAAGGGGGTATGCCTATATATGAGCAGATTATGGCTTTCTGGTATTTAGCCGCTCAGCATGGCCAATTAGCCAGTCCATTGTGCCGCCAGAGGCAGCAGGCAGCCACAAATGCAGAGGCGTGTAGGCAGCAGTCAGCAGTCAGACATCGGGCGAAAGTTGGCAAAAAACTAAAGCCAGAGAAGAGACGGTGACCATGGCCATTGCCAGGCAATTGCAGCATTAAATTGTGGCCTGTCCAAAACTGGCCAAGTCATAACAATTAGCCAACATCCACATATCCCCCAACCTCGGCAAACATATTTTTTATGGTCAAAAACCTGAGCACCGCCCAACCGCTTGGATTAAGAGAAATCTCCTTATGCTTCTGCTTCTGCTACTCCTCTGCCTCTGGCTGTTCCTCTCTGTCTGTGGAATGCTTTTTGAGGGGGGGGGAGGCTGATCCTCAGAGTCGAAGTTGGAGCCAGAGTCGAGACCGGACTCCAGCGATAATTTACAGTCGCAGCAAACAGTAGCTGGCAGCAAGTGGTGGATCGTAAAATTGTAAATTGATGACCCGTCAGATAATATTTAAGAATTTTTATGATGTCCTCTTCTCTGGCTCTCTATGCTCCCTCTCTGCAGATCCTCTGCCGTCTGCCTTTACAGCCCGTTTCAAATATTTAGGAATTCCAGCGATCGATATCTTCTAATGGAAGTGCAGTGACGATCCCGATGACGATGTTAATGGGCAAACAAATTGAATTAGTTATCAGTTATAGGCCACTTTCCATATCCAATATATGAAGTTTTTCCATAACTGAGAGTATTACTAATCAAAATGAGACATTCATTAGGTTTTTCATCGAATAAAATATGATAAAAATGAATGTCTTTAATGGAATGTGAATTCCGTGGATGTTTAATCATCAAAAGGGCATCAAAACCATTAAGGATGATAAATCGATTTATAAGTAAGGAAATCGACTTGAGAATGTAATTGAAATCAGTCTACCTTTTGGTTACACGTTTCTAATGAATCAAAATACTGAAAAGTTTCAGAAAACTATGAATAACGCTCCACAAGGCCACATTCATCGAAAGAAGCTGATTCGCTGTACGCATTTCCCATAAGCGAATGAACACATTTGATTTATGTATCGGTATTGAAGATACATCTTCAACGACCATCTTACACTCTTGATACGCACTTTATCTGTTGCAACTCAGTGCGTTGCATGGGGACACCGAAAGAGAGAGAGAGAAATGTTCAAGCCAAACAGTTAATAAATGATTATTGCAAGTTGTTTGGCTAATTGTAGAGATGGTGCTGAAATTTACAACGGATCATCAGATATCATTCCGTTCATTAGTCATCCTCTCCGAACTCCCTCTCCCTTTCGCTCTGCATTTTCATACAAATGAATAGTTCGCTTCTTCAGTTCTGATCCAATTCGATCAGTCCCTGCGTTGTTCCAATCTTTCTTGGCTCGCTTTTTTGTTGGATGATTTTCGGTGTGACGTCAATGGATGGAATCCAGGGCGATCGCGTGTACGCACACACACACGCGCTCTCTCTATCTCTTTCCCTCTCGCATGTTGGACACCACTCTGTCTGGCAGCAATCGATGCCACCAGCACCAACCCAACCATCCAGCCACCCACTCACTCACTCTCTCATAGAAGGCAGAAGGTCAATTGCATTTCGTTTGTCAGTTCATTAATTTCATTCCCATTCCTCTCTCTCTCTCTCTACTCTGCTTTGAGTTTAATTTTAGCTTATTCGTGTCTCTCCGCCTCTCTCTTTTTCTGTGGCCAACTCCTCCTCCTGCCACCCACCTCCTTCTCCTGACCTTGTTGTAGCAGGTGAAAAATCTATGGCTCGTGCCAGTTTCCAGTGAATTTTCCATCTATTTCAAATGGGTATTTCAGCCGAAAGATAGCATATGAATATATATTCTTAGTCCCCATGAATGAGGCATCATCTATAAGGAATAACCATCTCATGGCCGCCTCTCTGTCTGTCTAGGTCTGTGGTTCAAAAACTGCTTATAAAATGAAATAGACTTGATGATCGGTTAAAAGATCAATCAGAAAATGTGTTTTGTCACAGATATAAAGGATACAAATTTAAGATATTTTCGATAGATCACAGATCCAAAGCCAACAATTTTTAAATTAAATTTTAAGGAACAAATCTCTCCATAGCACACACTCAAATGTGCGTCAAATGGAGGGGATCACAGTAGTCATGTTTATTCTCCTCGTTCCATTCCGAATCGCTTCTGTACTCCAAAGAGCATCCAAATTCTGAAATTCCATTTAAATTCCACCCACATCATCTCTATTCTATTGTTGTTTGCTCTCGGATTCTGTTTGTGGCTTGCATTTTATCATCTACTTGTTATTTTTTAGTTTTTTATTAGTTGTCGTGATTTTTTCTTTTGTGTCTTTCTTAGCGCATCAGTTGTTGAGCGGAGGCTATAAAATGTTTTGATAAGCATTGTTAATGGCATAACTTCGACTCGAGTGAACAAAATCTGAGGCTGGCATAAGGCGGGGGAATCGAAAGGGGAATGAGTGGACTTTAATCCAAGATGATCCCCAAGTGGAGGGGCTGGCATTCAGCTGTTTTTACAGACACGAGCTGAGTGATTCCTGTGATGAGTCACAGCTGTGGAAATTCATTGGAATGCATTTTGTTGATAAGAAATGAAAATTGGGGGAATTTTCTTAGGGAAGCTTCAACAAAAGTTGTCTTGAAGTGTAACCAAAATTAATCTCGATGTTTCCCCAGAAACCATATATTTTTCGGTGATATTTGGAATGGAAGATAACTTACCTGATTATTTCTTTGATTATTTTGTACTTCGAATCGTGTTAGATCCTGCTTGATGCTCTCGAGGGCTTCCGCTGTGTATTTATCATTGGGGCGACCGCCCCTTTTCTCCCCCGCTGGATGCATTCTGCTGATGCTGCTGCTGCTGCTGCGTCTTCTCTCTGCGGTATTTTCCACTCATATCACAAAATACTCTGCTCTACTCAGCTCAGCTCTCACTCACACACACACACAGACACGCACACTAAGCACACTCGCGAACACTAAGGCACTCGTTTCTCTCGCTCCCACATCAGGGGAAAGATTTTTGTATGTAAATAAATATTTTTGTATGTTTTACCTTCCCTCCTTTCTGGGCATTCACTTTACTAAAATATTGTATGAGTAGATATATAAATAAATAAATTATTTAATCAACATTTGTGGCTTTTGATGTGGCTGCTTCTTTTTTCTGTTTATTCTTAGGCACTTTTCTGCATTTGCATTTCTATTGTGGGGACTGTATAATGAACTACTTAGGCGTGCTTATACGAAGGTTTATGATGTTTTATTATCTTTATTGTCGGTGTTGCCGCTGCTGATCTTGAGATTGTTGATCTCAATAAAGATAAATATCTTTGCATTGCTCCCGCTTGTCGGTTGTCGCTTTTGCTGTTTTTGTGTGTGTTTTTTTTTTTGCTTTTAATTTGCTCCCGCTTTGCTCCTCGGTGGGCTTAACGGGAGCTTTTGCTCTGGTTATGGTTGAAATTAACGTTACTTTTGTTCTCCCACTCGATTAGTCCTTCGTTTTGCGTACAAGTTCTCGTTGTTTCTTGACTCGCTGAAGCGTAGCTATCAATGATTTACTTTTCTTTTGATTTGATTCTTTATCTTTTACTTTTGTTATTCCTTTTCTTTCTTTCGCTATCGCTCTCGTTCCACGTCGTCCCTTTTATTTGCGTTTCAGATCGTATTATTTATCACTAGCGAAGCGAAAAAAACGCACAGAACACTCCACGCCCCGTCCAGATCAGATCCGTTCAAAAGGAACTTCTTCTACACATTTGCATTTCCAACAAAAACTTCTTCATTTAGCATGTAAATAATTCCTTTTTTCTTCACATTTTGTATTCGATTTATTTCGGTTTTTATCACAATTCAAATTTTATGCAAACCCAAAAAAAGATTCGCTCGCTCGCTGGCTGACGATGAATGGGAATACGAATACGAATACGATTTGAATATTTGAATACCAAAATATTAGTTGATTTTTTGTTTAATTCGATTTGATTCTTGAGCGGTCTGCGCCCGCAGTGGAATTTTAATTGATCGACGGCCGGACCCACACACACACGCGCGAACTCACACACAGAACAGGCGACGTGAAGGCTGAAAATAGACAGAGAAAAAAACAAAAACAGAGATGTGAAAATTGTGATCAAACAAAAATTGTCACACGCTATAGCCGAGGACGCGTTTAAAGAAGCCCCAAAAAAGCATAGTCATTCGCTGAACACACACGCCAGACTGTTGTCTCGCTCATACAAACGCAGAAATCGATATAGTTATCTCGCTTACGCAAGCACTCACTCTCGTTGGACTAAAAAACGTTTAATCTGAGGAATAAAGTTCATCCCCTTACTGTCTCGAAATGCCTTTCCTTCCGTTTTGCATATACCTTGGACCATAATCCCATAATTTACATGTCAGAGACGTGACTCAGAGCAAAGCAGTGGGCTCAAGAGAGCCAAGCCAGCAGTCCATGCCCCGGGCCGGAAAAGCCACACGCATTGTTCCTAATGACCCCAAAAAGAGTAGGGAAGAGAGAAAAGAGCGAGAGGAAGTGCCAACTGGAAACAGTTTCGCCGAAAGAGAGTGAGAGATCGAGCTGCATCACCTGAGAGGGGGCGGACAGTCTGACACGTGCACATAATTTATGCGTAGCGGCATTATGTCATCACCGAATTCAAAATCGAAATCGAATTTCGGGGAAGAGGTCTACAAACAACAACAAAAAATCCCCGCACCAACAGCATTTTTACGATGAACCATTAAATTCACACTATCCCAATAGTAAAGGAGGGATGGCTTAGAGAGGGGGAATGGCGTGCGCACCTGACTATGAAATAGTCATCAATATATACCATCTGAAACATACTACGTAAACACACAAAACAACATTCCGAATTTGTGCCAAGTGCAAATAAGGATAAAAATATGAAAGAAAGATTCGATTCAAGGGCTATGGATACCCTTTCCAAATTCCGATTGGGACGATTTCGGTTAGAAAGGTTAAGATCTTTAAGTCTGCCTCAGAAAAACAAGGTCCCACAATCTCTGAAAATGTGGATACCACAACCATTTGTCGGTAGACATTCCTTCACTGATCTTAACGGGCCTTAGACATCTGTCAACATTTAGCTGGCTTGATCTTTAAACAACATTTTGATTGCCCCCTCCCCAACATAAAAAAAGCAAAAACAAGAACAGAAAATATGAGTTTAATTATTCTGTTGACAAAAGTGGAATTCTTCGTTTACTTTTTCCATTTTTGCAATGGAATGTGTATCCGTACCCGTTGCCGGCCCATACAATAGATGATAACACGGCGGAGCAACCAGATAGAGATAGATACAAAATGTATGTGGATTGTAGATCTGGTTGGGTAAACACCTCTGTTCGGTTCCACGCGCCATATCCGCGAATGTCAACAGCGAACGACCCTGGGGGTGGTGTACACTGTACACAGAGGTGTCCCATCCCATACGTCCCTCTATCGCGTTCCACCTACCCAACACGGGATGTTTTAACATTCCACGAATTCCACAATATTTTTTGCGCAAATATAAATGTGGGAGTGGATCTACGAAAACATATAGTATATATCCGATAACTAATTAACAATAGCTCGCATGTTCTCTCTCTCTCCCTCTCTCTTGCCGTCTCCACCAATTCCCATTCCCATTGCCATTGTGAGGGATATTTTGATTTTGATGGGTTATTAAGCGACACGACGCTTTGGGAATTTTTAATTGTTTAATTGCGTCCCTCCTCCACATAAAAGAGAGCTGCCGCTTAAGCGGAATTCTTTATTTAACATTAATTATACGATTTGAACATTTCCAATGGCTAATCAGGAAAGTAGATGAGAGCACGCAGCTTTGAGTGATCTGTTAATGGGAGTGTAATTTAACAGAGAATTTTCCATAAAAATAGATATTTGGAAGGAATCTCCCCTTCATTATTCCCTACAGTTAATCTCTTTCTCTCTCTCGTGTTCTGTTAGCGTATTAAAGCATCTGTACAGAGAGCGCGATCCACTGAGCAATCGAACACACGCTGCAGGGGGCAAACACTCAAATACACACTCACACATACACACACCCCACGAAGAAGTGTGCGACGTCAACGTTGACGCCTGCCGCAACGCAGTGCCTACAAGCTCTCGACGGCAGAAGATAAAAATAGTATTAGTGGCTGATTATTATTGCAAAAATGCGCATTCCACGGCAACTTATTCCACAAGGGAAGTGGGAGAGAGAGGCAGAAAGGCGGCTCGGCTGCTGCTGTTGCTGTTGCTGTTGCTCCACTCTACGCGTGCAATTCTCTCTCTCTCTCTCTCTCTCTCTCTCGTACTCTCTGTGTTTTCGTTTCGTTTTCCCTTTTCTCAAGCACTCTCACACAAACACACACACCCATACAGAGAGACTGCAGTATGTTTCAAAATGTGTGGAAAAGAGGAGGAAGCATAGAGGAGTGAACGGGGGGAAGAATTGAAGCAAGCAAGAAAAACGAGCTAAATTGCATTTTCGTCGTCGTCGCTGCAGCCGTCGTCGTCGTTGTTGTTGTCGCTCGACTAAGATGGGAGGGCAGTGGCGTCGCACAGAGGGGAGTGGGAAGTAGGTGGAAGGCATTGCAGAGCTGGTCATCAATGGCCGCCCACCCATCCCCCTCCTCGAACGATCAGTGGAATGGACGGACGCGTGAACGGACACGCTCAGGTCGAACTGGAAATGTGTGCTCTCTTTCTCACACCCTAGAAGGGGAAGGGGTTACGAGCAGTTTGATCAGATCGAGAGAACTTTAAACGAATATTTTTCCAAAACATATTATTTTGGTATTTTTACAAAATCTATGGTAAATTTGCAAGCAAAGGGTATCCCTGGTACGTCACAGTCTACTCCAAGTCTTCCTTCGTTCCTTTCTTGTTTTATCGTTCATTTACTTTTGAGAGCAGCAACAACAAACAACGAACCCCGCTACAAACCCTCACCTGTTCCATGCTGCCGCCGCTGGCAGCAACAACAGCAAACTCACACACACACTCTCGCATAATCCACTACGAATTGCATGCTGGAATGTGAATGGAATCTCAACAATTTTTAGCGTCGGCTGACGATGACGCCGCAGCAACAGCAACAACATTTTGCACGTTCGGAACGGAACGTAACGTAACGGGGGAGGGGAGGTGAGTCGGCGGGGGCCTGGAAGCCTGGTCAAGCTTTTTTTGGCTCGACGACTGTGACTTTTTTGGGGCTTGGCTTTAACCAAATTGCAACATTTACATTTCAACTGTCATGTCTCCTCGCCCGTTTCGATTCGTTGCGATCCCCTTTCCGCTTCCATAAACCCCCTGCCTGGGAAATTATTGTCGCTTTGACATTGAGCGCATTTCTCACAGCAGAGACGTCAACGTCTGCGGCGCTGCCTCTAATTACAAAGTGATCCAATGCGAAGGAGAGGGGAGTGGTGCCGAGTGAAGAGGAGAGAGCATGCATGCAGTTACTTGTGCCACATTTTTGCATCTCTCATATTCACATTTACCCTGCTTTTGCCATTGCCTTTGTTGTACATTTGTCTCCATATTTCTTTTGACATTTGTTGTTGTATTCGTATGTAAATCAGAGGCGCAGCTGCCTGCCTGCCTGCCCAGGGCTGCATCAGCCCGATAGAGTCTTTGTTGCTGGTACAGTGGAGAGTGGCTAAGTGTAAGCTCCTCTATCCTTTTCGCCGACCCAAACTCACTCGTTTCCCAGCATTCCTGCTCCCCAAATTTTTGTTCTCACTCTATGTGGAAATTGTTTAGGATTCACTCAGCACTTGCAGATTACCGTTAGGCAGTCACCACTGTACCGTACCCCTCTGCTTGTTCTGCCATTCTCGCTGTTTGTCTGCGTTTTCTTAGTCCCCCCAATTACGCTTGTTCTTGTTGTTGTTACAGTAATTCTCGCTCTTGTTTTTCACGATTTATTATGGTTTTTCTTTGCTGTTTTTTGCTTCTCTTTTAAAGAATTGCAATTGTGAATCGCACAGAACGCCCACGAGACGGGTTTTTGACACCTGAATTATTGCAGTTGACGCAATTTGTTGCAGTTGACATTTGTCTGCCATGGGGCGGTGTTACGGAGAGGGACAGCCTCCTCCGTTCTCAAAAGTGCAGCAGGTTCAAGACACTCAATTGCGTGCGGGCGTGCATGCGTTCTTGGCAGAGTTTTGACCTTGCGTCAGGGAGCACATATTTTGTATGGCACCGCTTAAATGGTTTTGTTCCTTTACTATTTAGGAACTATTCTTAATAGTTTTCGACACACTCATTGAGTGTGGAAGGGGGCCATGGGGATCGAACGAGAGGGCAGAACGTTCTCTGATCATTCACCACCTCATATTTAATCCACTTTGGGCAGGAGGGGGCCTGTTCTGTTTCTATGATCTCGTCTCTATCCCACACTAGCACTCTAATAACACACACATACACGAAATAGTTGAGAGAGCGAGATAAATATGTAAATACTAGATCCAGGGGGGCAGGGGTTTCAGCCGTTGGTATTTTTATGGCAAATCAAACATTTTGCAAGTCAAAATGCACTCACTAATACACACACAAACACGATAGATCTCACCCGATCAGCAGTCTTGCACACATGCAAAAGTTAACAGTGACGTGCACTCACACGCTCTCAGGCCCACAGCTTAACAGTCCTCACGCACACACAGTCATATCCCATATACATTTCCCAGCAGTTTTTGCATTTCGTTTTTAAACACTTTTTCCACAGATTTTCTGCGTTTTTCCTTTAGCTTTTTTTTCGAGAGAAATACATTCTCACAAACGACGGCCACGATGGGGTAAGAGGGAGAGACATACAATTGGAAATACGCATACACACACGCACACGGTCACACTAACGCACACTATCGCAATCGAACTGTTGCATTTTTGTTGCTTTTGGGAAAATATACAAATTGCGCACACGTTTCCCATGCAAACGTTGCATTTTCCAACTCAACCGTGATTTACCTTCACGCTGCGAGATTTCCCAGAACTTTTCCTGCCACTTTTCTTCTATATTTTTGGCTATTTGGCTCTTTGTTCTCGCCTTTTTCTTCGATTGGGGAACACCACACACACGGAACGGAGCGCACAGAGTATTTTTTTTTTTTGGTTGTTGACAAATCGCTGAATGGCTTTCTCTTCACTGCCCCCCCGATGGGTGGCACTTGCCGACGAACACCAGTTCTATACCGTTGCGCCCAGGCATGTTTTTGTCGATTTTCCGTGCGCGTTTTTAATAAAATTAATAAAAATCAGCTACTCGGATCACTTTTTGTTGCTGCCGGAACGAAACGCGAACGAACTAGTTCACAAGGTTCCTGGTCTATCGATATATATTGCGAGAAATATGTTGTGGCAACATTAACTGAACTAGTTCTCGCTACTCACAATTGCGTGGTGTGCTCTTCTTCTTTGTTTTCGATATATTTCTGTAAATTATTGATGGTCAGGATTGCACATTTCCTTTAGAATTTGACAAACAAATTCCCTGACGGTTTGACTAGAAATTACCAATACTTTGCTGTTTTGCTCAGGGTATCTTTCGGTATATGTTTGAGGGTCAGACCCGCGGTCACACTGTTCGTATGATTCCCTCCGCTTTTTCGCGAAATTTTGCAAAACTCGTAAACATGTCCAAAAGTGCACTGATTATCTTGGCTCCTGGCGCCGAGGAAATGGAGTTTATCATTGCCGCAGATGTGCTGCGTCGTGCTGGGGTGAGTACATACAAATGACATGCAAAATGAAACTTTCTAACACCCTTCGATGTCCCTGTCGGCAGATCAAGGTCACTGTGGCTGGGCTGAAAGACTCGGAGCCGGTGAATTGCTCCCGCGATGTGGTTATTGTGCCGGACACATCTCTGGCCAAGGCGGCCGGCGACAAATTCGATGTGGTCGTGCTGCCAGGTGGATTGGGTGGATCCAATGCCATGGGGGAGTCTGCAGCCGTGGGAGATCTCCTGCGCGCCCAGGAATCTGGCGGCGGTCTGATTGCTGCCATCTGTGCCGCGCCCACGGTGCTGGCCAAGCATGGAATCGCCACCGGCAAGTCCCTCACCTCGTATCCCTCAATGAAGGACCAACTGGTAGACAAGTACTGGTGGGTGTGCGTATCCTTAATCCTGAGACATTGACTAATGGCAGATGGCTCCCCCTTTTTTTGCAGCTATGTGGATGACAAGAGTGTGGTGAAGGATGGAAATCTGATCACTAGTCGCGGTCCTGGAACCGCCTACGACTTTGCCCTGAAGATTGCCGAGGAGCTGACTGGCTTGGAGAAGGTCAAGGAGGTGGCCAAGGGCCTGCTGCTGTCCTACAACTAAAAATCTCATCTCCCATTTATGTAACCCAAGAACTGAAGCAAAGCTCTCTTCGGAATTAATACCTCCTCCGGCTGTGGACAGCTGGACGAATAAATATTTATATTAATCAATGTGGCAACTGCATCAGATTAGTCGTTTATTACTTTTTGTGTTCAAAAGTTTATAATTGGCGCGTTTTGTCTTGTAAATATGTAATTTTCAGTATCAGTGCTGGTCACACTACTTCTCGTTCAGACCAAAAATTTAAATCTGGGAGTCAAGGCGCTCAGCGTAAAACATTAAAAATGAGACAAAAATGAGCCCCGAGCACGATATATTTAATTAAAGGTGGCGTTGCTTTTTTTTCATGCATACCGGCAATTGGTCACCGGGAGAGAACACGCCACCTTGTTGGTAAATTCACCTTGCACCTTATACGAAAATGTTCCTTGGGCAGGGTTGACAGAAATACATAAAAGTATCAATTATTATATTTATATGCATGTCAGTCTTAAACAAGTCCTTTTTAATATTTCAAAACATATGGTACAACGGAATTTCAATATTAAGTGTAGCAAATAGGTTAGACAAGTGCCCTTACTATACAATTGTTTGCCAGCAACCTGTATTGCTACTTTTGTTGGTTGACCTTTTCAATTTTAATCTTATTTTGCAATCAATCCAATAAAGGTAAGTCATGAAAACCAGCCAGTCTTGTGAAAAATTGAATGATAATTAGAGTAAAATGTAAGTTTTAAAACTGAGAGTCCTAACTTGCTGGAAATATCAAATAGAACATCAAAGTCGAGGAATAGTGCTTGTATATGGAAGTGTGAACGTATATTATTTTTGGTATATTTCTGTGAAAATCGCAGTGTAATTTACCTGGCGCCACTGGATTTTTTGTGACGATTTACCTGTTGTCGACACCAAAGTTTTTGGTACAAATTTCGCACCATGAAAGCTCCCTTGGTTTGTTACAGGAATCTGAAAGCTCTTTTCCTTTGCGAAGGGAGTTTGAACAACCCATGAGAACAACTAAATATAAAATAAAATATATTAATATTGGACTATAGACAATATATGGCTTATATTATATATGTATTTCCCTTTCAGCCCCTTTCAGAAAAACAATAGAATTTCTTTATCGCCTTTGTTGTGAGCGCATTTTTCAAATTTTTCAATGTTATCAGTTAATATAAATGTCTCTTTTAATAATATACATACATTTACATACTGTAGAGAAAGCTCCCTTGCTTCCAGAAGGGCGATATTAATGAAAAATTCAAATACAATTTTACAAAATACAAGGTGATAAAGTATACAAACTAATAAATATAAGTATTTATAATAAGCCAAATTGAATCTTTAATCGGATTAAATTATTGTTTTTAGTGTTAAGATGCTTTGGAGGCTAGTAATATTAAATAGAACATCAAAGTCGTGGAATGGCATTTAAGACAACGGTATATTTACGGTATATTTTGAAGATGCAATGGTATATTTTGGTATATTTACGAAGCCCTGACGGTATATTTCGTCGATAATTCCGCGGTCACACTGTTGGTCCATCAAAATAAATTTTAACAACAAAAGCGGCGGAACAAAAAAAATAGTGTCCCATTTTTCTTACGAGTACGTTGATATTACAAAAATATTGTAAAAATAATATACAATATTCGAAATACAAACAATAACTAATTCATCAAACGCAATTCTCAATTTCGTTCTCGGTTTTCCAACACACAGTTTTAAACGAAGCAAACATATTCGAAGCACGCAGAGTGTATTTTTTAACGCGTATTGGACTTGCGGTTAATGCTGCGGTGCACCAGTGCAGTGCTGCTGGAAAAACTAGGTGTGAAAATGGCGAAAATCAATAACAAAGCAAAATAAATAAAGTGCACACGGAAAGTGGCTTGCAGCAGAAGAGCGGGAAGAGGCAAATTCATCGCAAAAGTGAGAGAAATCCAAGTGCGTGATGAAACGAAACGAATAGGAATAGGAATAAGAATAGTGAGTACAAAGGAGACGAAGGAGAAAAGTGCAGCGTGTGCGTGTGTGTGTGGAAAGGAAGCCGCCAACAAATTTCGGTGCAATCGCTGCAGACGACGACGCTACGTGACGCGAATTAAATGTGCCGCTCTTGCGCTTGTAATTAATTCCGTTTCTGCCGCCGCTGCGAATAGGGTCAAAATAAAACACGTAAAAAATACATCCAAATGCTGGCCGGTTTTCTTGTTTGCGGTTAAAACAGTGCGCAGTGATTCATACGGTTTCGGCGTTCGTTATTGTTGGCCAGAGCAGCAGCAGCAGAGTTACAGAGCTACAAAAACAACACTGCCGTGCATTGAACCGTCGACGGCGACGCTGACGGCAGGCCCGACTGCAACGCAACGGTTTCCTGCTGAAAACATTGTCATACGAGCAGAGCAGAGCAGACACGCAGCGACGGAAGCAGAGGAAGGAGCAGTAGTAGTAGGAGCAGCTGAGGACGCAGCAGTAAAATGGACAACAGTAAGTTTTGCCTCCTCCCTCTCTTGCTTGTTGGGAAAACTATGAAAATTCCATGAACTGCAGTTTTCGTGTGTTCTTTTACTCCTCTTCCTCATTTCGGGGTGGGTCCACAGCTCTCGTCGACTCCTTTTTGCTCCCTCGTTCGCATTTTCTTTGCTGTTGCTTTCTGATGCTGCTGCAGGGCTGACGGGCGGGTCTGTGGGCGGGGTGGCTGTTGAGGGGTGGGTGTGGTCTTCGCCAAGGACATTTACCGTCTGTTTTCGCGACTCTAATCCGCAGCGTGGCCACTCGCTCTAACGGTAGTCCATGCAATTAGTCACTTTTGATACCCTTCTCTGGTGGCGAGAATAAATGTAAGAAAGGGTATCTAAAGCCTCGACCCTCCCGCTGCTAGCCTTCATTTCTTGTTTAACGCTTTTTATTGCCAGATTTTTACAACAATACGCCAAAAAAAGGTAAAGAAAAACATAGCTTAAAAAAAGTTAAAACAAAAAAAGGAAAACCTGTTTTTTTTGGGCCGAGAAGAAAAGGTCTTTTAAATGGGAATTTTGGGGGCTTTGATGATTTCATGTAGCCAGAAACAGTCACGCCGCTCCCGCGCATCTGCGTTCCAGCAGTGGAAAAATTACCATGAGAAAATTATATTGGACTACGATCTAATTTGAGGAAATCGAATCCACTCAAACAGAGAGCACGTGTGGATCGGGCTTAGAAACAAAATCTCAAGAGAGATAAACGTAGTTTCCAATGTAAAGCTTGACCCTGAAAGATGTTTCAGTGGAAACTTCTTTAATCTTTATTCTTTGCTAAACTTTTCCTTTCATGTTGTTCCTTAAGCTTCCTCCCAATCAGACCTTTTTCTGACCCACACAGCTACTGTGCAATGAGCCGCAAAGATAATCCTCCCATCGGATAGCAGTTGAAGCACTTCCAGAGACAATATTAATAAATCTGAATGTGCGTCGGGACGGTCCCAACCTTGTTATGGCTTCTTTGTGGAGAGAATAAGGCCCCAAGATTGTTCATCTCGGGCTTTGTGTTGTGCGTTGCCTTTGTGGATGCAACCAGCTGATAATGGAGACTGATTGAATACCTCCTGCCCCTACACACTAGCCAAGCCACCGGCTGCACCCAAGCACCCGCAGTTTTTTCTTTCTTTTTACTTTTTTCTACTGATGATTTCTTTTGATGAACCATTTCCAGCGACAGACAATGGAATGGCAATGCCTCTCCATCTACCTTTTGCTCTGTATCTCTCACTCTCTGTCTCTTTCTTCCAACATTTGCATCCCGAACAAAGCTTTCTTCCGTCCGTTTAAGTGATTCATTTGCTAGACAAAAGGCGGAAAGGTAAAAAGGTGTACAAAACAAATGAAAATTATTATTACGATTATGGTTTTATATAACGCTAACGCCTCACAAAACAAAAGGCGACCAACAAAAGCAATCAATGGCCAAAAAAATAATGCGACAAATGAACACATTTGGATACCTTTTTAAATGCTTGCAACACAGAGAGGGAATTGATCAGGTCTATAAAAAGGGTATATTCCATTTCATCGTAGTCTACAATTTCTTGGATTTCTTTTTCCCATTTTCCTTAAAATTTTATCTTATCAAATTGAGTATTTCTATTTCCTTGAGACACTCCTCGTAGTCAAGTCATTCCCTCTCCTTTCTTTCATCTACGTTTCTGACAATTTAATAAATTACCATGGCACGCCTCTCTCCACACTCGCCGCCCTCCTTTCTCCACTCTTTCGCTCTTGGCGTGGGCCGTAAATCGCTGCCAATGGGTTAATGAAGAGCCTCTCGAGGGGCCACGCCCTCATCTCTGTGGCCCATTTGCCAACTCTTTTTTTTTATGTCTTATGGCTCATTCTGGCTAACAATTTCTTCATATTTCCCTCATATTCTTGGCTGAAATTATAAGGCCTGATGGATGGATGGATGTGCCTGACGTGCCGTCTGTGTGTATGAATCATTCCCCGACATTCTCTCTGAATTTGTCACAAAGAAATGACAGGAATTAAGCCTCTACTTTAATGATGGTTCGGTATGTGGTACGAGTGTCTGTTGAGGGACTTCAGGAATCTAAATTATATTCAGGGGTGGCGGGGATAGTGCAGTCCTTTAGGGAAATGGGCCACAAGAAATTATCCTAAGATAATTCGATATTGTTTGTTAGATATAAATATCTCACAGCTATGCCGCTATCACCATAATCTCTTCACATTCTAAGAAAAACTACTTTTCACATATGTTTCCTTTAAGAGAAATGTGTTTTAATTCTTATTGTGGATCAATTTGATCACTTTTTATGATCAATCAATGAATGCTTTAGGATATCAATGAAAAATTCAGTAATGAACACCGATTCAGAGTAAATTATTAAAAAGATATGCCCCTTTTTCCCAGGGTATATGTAAGTTTTTTGCAATTATTTTGTACATCTTTTATTTGCATTTTGTCGCCATCGAAGCGAACAGTAACCGAGGGAGACAGAACAACCACGATTGCTA